GGCCTGGCCTCAGGTCTGCAGAGCAAGGGGGGAGGGAGGAGAGGCCGAAGGAAGGCGCCGTCCCCCTGACGGTCATCTCCGTGGGCTGGGGGGTGGGACAGCGGGGGGTACAGCGGGGGTCAGCAGGAGGTGGGGAGGAGCCCAGGGAGTGACGGGCGGGAGGGTGGCTGCCTGCCTAGGCCCTGGGGAAGCCACCAGTCACAGTGTCCCCAGCCCAGGGGGGGAGCCTGCAGTMGGCCAGTCAGAGGTGGGCAGAGCGGGCTCGGGCTGTGCTCAGCAGAAGGCCCAGCTCTGGGGCCTCGGCTGTGCCACCCTCCACCGGGCACTCTCTCCTCTGCTCCCCCCCATCATGCCCCTGGACCTCTCAGGCTGGCCAGTCACATGGCTCTGGTCCAGCCACACGGTCACCTTGGCCTAGAGCACCCAACCTGAGCTGGGTGGTCATGGGCAGAGCTGGGGCCATTGTCCAGAAGAGCCTGCAGCCTCCTCAGCCCAGAGAGCAGCAGGCCCGGCCCCGAGGTCCTCGATGGTCCTGCGTCCGGGCCTCCTCCATCCAGGGATGTGAGCTGTGCCCAGCCCRGCCCACAGAGAGCCAGGAAGTCCGTGCTCGGGAGAGCGCCGGGAACAGGGCCTGGCCCTGGCAGGACACATGGGAGGTGGCATGACAACCCAGGGCCGCACAGGGTGATAGGGCCTGAGGGGACAGTAGCAAGAAGAGAGCAGGGAGGGGCCCATGTCCAAGGAGGCAAGGGGGAGTCAAGGCCATACCAGGTCTCCAGGGACATGCCTCTRAAGCCTGGGGCCCAGGAGGGACAGGGGACTGGCAGAAGTGATAACTGGATTGGACACTGAGCTYGAGACCCCTCGCCTGTAGAACACCCGGAGGAGGAGTCCAGCAGGCCTGCCTCGAGGGGACCGGAGAGAGGCCACTGGAGGTGTGGGGCTTGCCAGGCACCTGTCAGCCTGGGCACTCAGCTCCGCAGGCAGCGGGCTCAGGACGCAGAGCTGCTGGCCCGAATGCCACTCCAGGGGCCTGCTCTCACACCCAGGGCCRCGGCCTGCTCTGCAGAGGGGCCTGCTTGGCCATCTGACGGTAAGGTGCCCCTCTGGACCCGGCCAGGCCGCCAGGGCTGGGCCAGGCCCATTCACAGACCCACAGAGGAGCCGGCGTTGGTGTCTGCACACACACAAGCACACACACGTGCACACACACGAGCATGCAGACCCTCACACAGGAAGCACATCCGTGTTCGGGCCCCTGGGCCTGCGCCCACAGTGAGGCAGGTGCCCGAGGTGGACAAGGCCAGGCCAGGAGCACAGGCATCTTGCACCCCRCATCGAAGTTGCCGGGTCTCTTGGCCTCTTGCTGAAGGGCAGGGAAGAGACCCACGCTATCCAGGGGACGTGACCGGAGGAAAGGAATTCTGGGTCTTGCTGCCCAGAGCACCCCCCCTCTGCCAGCAGCACACCCCCATTCCCTTGGCCTTTTTTCCCTTCCCTGCTCTCAGGCTGTGGCACAGAGGTCACCCATTCCTGGATCCCAGAGTGGCCTGGTGACTTGGGACTGGCCAATCTGAGCAATATCCCCACGGCCTGGWGCCCATTGAAGCTGAGTGAGAGGCCTCCCCAAGGACATGCCAGGCTGTCTGGACAGACTCATATTCACCTGGCATGGGTGGACAGGCCCAGGCCGCTGGTGGCCTCATGGAGACGAGGGAAGCAAATGTAGAAGCCAAGAAACAGAGAGGGACTGCATCCTAGTGACACATTAGAATCCTTGATCCAGCCGAACCTGAAGCCAGTCCTATCTCTGTGCTTTTTCATAACCCGAGCCACTATTTTTTTCCTTTTTCTTTCCTCCCTCCCTTTTCCCCTTCTCTTCCTCCTTTTGTGCGTCCCTTTTCATTCTTAAGCCTGTATGAGTTGGGTTTTCATCTTTTGCGCCAAGAAAGTCTAATGCTAATATGAATTCAGAAAACAGAGCCAAAGGTGACGAGATTGTCTTCCCCTGTGACGCCCTCGCCCTAGATCTCAGCCACACCCCCAGAGAGTGAAAGCCACTCCAACTCCTCCCCTGCCTCGGGTCCCCACTCACACCCCAGCCAGGAGAGGAACCGGCCTTAGGGCGTCTCTAGGTCCCCGACCCCCCARGCCACACACCTTTCCCTGGGAAACACCCAGCCTGACACACACCCTTCTGAGGAAAGAAGAGCCAAGACCCCGGAGAAAGTCCTAAATAGGTATCTGGGTTTTATTCAAAACAACACTGGTGGGGTGGCCGCTTGGTCTCTCTACGCCTGGGCCATCTGGGCCCGCAGGGACCAGCGCCGTCAGCAACTAGGAGGAAGTTCATTCACACCATAGAAACTGTACAGTGATGGGGTGGGGGTGTGCTGCAGCCACAGCAGCCGAGCCAGCCGAGGGTTTCCGGGAGGAGGTGACCTCTGCCTCCCCGCAGGCCCCAGCTTGGCTCTGGCTCTGCCAGAAACATTGATTATTGCACAAAGACAGAAATATTTATGTGTGTATGGGCTAAACAGTGGCTTCTAAGACCCCAAGCCCTTACACAGCGCAGCAAAGGGGGCTGGAGCGGCAGGCTCCCAGGGAGGGACAGGGACAGGCAGACAGGCTGATACTGTGCGCTTTGTCCTCCTTCAACGGGCTGCCTGGGGCAGAGGACATTGCAGGGAAAGGAGGGAGCGTGGCCAGGGGCAGGCCGCGGCCCGTCTTGTCCCGAGGCCCTCTCTGCAGATGCCAAGGTGCCCACCAGTCTCCACTCCACAGAGCCTGGCAAACAAACAGCTTTAGGGGAGTTGGCGYGGGATCCCCATCCTCCCCACAGCCAGGCCCAAGTGGATCAGGGTAAGTTTGTGCTTTTGTGATGGACACAGCCCAGGTCACAGAGTTGGAGGGGGAGGAGGACTGTTTGCCCAACCCACATTCATCTCAGCGTTCAGGCCRGTGCCTCTCGGCTTCCTGGTCCCTGACACCCACAGGAACAAGGGCAAATGCCTGGAATCAGCATTCGCCACTTTGCCGGAGSCGGGCCCCCAGCTTCTCTGGCTCCAGGTCCAGCTGTTCCCACCTTCTCGCGYGCCCTGCTCGGCTGGCCCCTTTGCCTAGAATGTCCTCCTCACGTGCCTGCTTATTGCAGGGTCACACAGTTCAGGGTGAAGGGACGTAATCCCTGCCGGCCACTGAGGACCAAGTGACACTGGAAAGTCCGTTTGGAGCAGCACCCCCACCCCCCCATAGGGCTGCCCTGCAGATTAAACAAGATGGCAGAGGCTGGGCCAGAAAAACAGAGGCTGTCGGACAGTGTCAGGACTTGTCCCTGTGAAGGTGACGGGCACACCAGCCCTATGCCAGGCTGGACGCCCTAAATCGCCCACCTTTAACATCCAGGATGCTCTTACACTGTCCAGGTGTGAGGTCCTGGCCCTCCACCGGCTGTTCACAGGTGCCCCAGCTTCCTCRCTGCCAGGCCCTGCAGGACCCAGGGACACTTCCCCTCTGGGCCTGGGTCTCCACAGGTGCACAGTGGGCCTGAGGACACTTCCCCCCCACCCCTCAGCTCTGAGAAGGGCCTCCAGGCAGTGAACCCCATCACCCCCTCCTCTCCACTCTGCTATAGCACCCAGGCCCCGAGGGTCCCCGGGACAGTCTAGAATTCCCCCAGAGCCTGTCCACACAGCCCTCTGGAAGCCAAGGTCTTTGAAGTCAGGGTTTGGGAGCAAGGACGTCCCCCACAGCTGGGCAGGCGTCAGCAGAGGCCAAGGCCCCCAACGGCCAAAGCACGGCATTTGCCAACCCTGCTGCACTTCTGCTGAATCTGCAGACGCATTCCGAGCTCCTTCCTTAAACTGACTTTAGATCGACTTGCTTTTTAGAACTCAGCCTTGACCTAAGCACTACGCCTGTGAAATCACAGGTTCAACACGTTGTGTTTTTTCTAATAAATAATGGAAAAATGCATGACTATCTAAATAAAAACACCCGTCCAGAACCCATTTGAAAAGCACTCCTACAGAGAGACCTGACCTTAGGGACAGTGAGACAGAGACCCAGGGATGGGCCATCAGGGGGTCGAGGACCTGGGTCTCCAGGTGACCCCCTAGAGGGTGAAGGAGCTGAGGGGAGGGAGGGGGCTGGTCCCTAGGCCTGGGCAGGTGGCCCYCTGCTTAGAACCCCGTGGGACCTGCTGTACCCTGAACTCCACTAGGGAAGGAGAAGAGCTGCTGTGGGGGGTGAGCACAATCCCAGAAACAGCTGCAGCCTGGGCCTATGCCGCAGCTACAGCAGTAAGTCCACACAACTGACCGCCGAGACCAGGGGCACCTGCGTGGACCAGGCGGGTACCCTTGACCCTTGAAATCTGCTCAATCCCCCTTCATGTGTCCTCTATCCTATATAAGCAGCTATCCCAGCTCATGGCCTTCCAGGGGGCAGAAACCCACCCCCCAGAGTGCTCACTGAGGTCAGGACTTCAYTTGCCACTAGGGCCCCCTGCCAGCCTTGGAGCTGCCCTCTCCCTGACCCCTGCCCTTAGAAAATAGGACTACTCGCCCCTGATTTTCTAAAGAAAACATCTAACCGGTTGACTAAGGGAGTTTGTGTGCTCTGAGGTGTCTACAAAAGACTTCACAACAACAAGACAGTCAGAGGACAAGACAGACACCCCGACACTTGGGTGGAGGGGGGATCTTAGCAGCGTCTCTTCTTTAAAGGGAAAAAAAGTGCACCCTGAATTGCACCTCTTCCGGGCCTGTCTCGGGGCTGCGGGCCTCTGAGCCCTGAGAATCCCTCCAGCTGCTCCCAACCCGGGAGCCACCCAAACTGCGGCTGCCCCGCCCGGGCAGGGCCATCCACCCTGGGCGGCCTGGCCCTAAGCAGCAGAGCGAGCCCCTGTCCAGGGCCCGGCCTTGCCCCCAACTCTAGCACTTTCTACAAGTCATAAGCTCTCAGTAGAAAAAATAAATATATGCGTCTGTCTACGTGGATCTATGCTGCGTACAGATGCGTCTATGCGCCGGAGGGGCCGGGCCGCGCGAGCCCCGCTGGCCGACCCTCCTCAATCCCGGGCGCCAGGGCCCGGGCGGCCCCGCTCCGGGGTGGGGACCGAGTATTGCTGTCTGCTCCCTGGCTCCTGAGGTAAAAGAAGGTGAGACGGGGCGGGCGGGCGACAGTGGCGTCCGGCGCGGCCCCTGCGGCCCTCATCTCTTCCTCTTGCTCGCGGCGTCTGCCGCCTCCAGATCCCCGGGCGGCGGCTGCGGTTCGGGCGCCGCGGGGCCGAGGCCCGGGGCGGGCTGCGCCCGGCGCGGCGGGTCCTTGCTGCGGTCCGCGGCCCACGAGGGGCTGCGCGCCAGGCCGCGGGCGAGCGCGGCGCGGGGGGCGGGGCGCGCGGCCAGGCTGCTGGTGCTGCTGAACTTGCGCGCGGGCGTGAGGCCGGGCGGCGGCGGCGCGGGCGGCGGGCAGAAGAGCGACGTGAGCGACAGGCTGCTGAGCGTCTCCGAGTGCTCGCTGCCCGCGCCGCCGCCGCCCGCGCCGCCGCGGCCCTCCTCGTCCGACGGGTCCATGGAGTCGTGCAGGGTGCAGCCCGGGCTGGTGGAGCCGCCGCTGCTGTGGCTGCGCTGGTGCGCGCGCAGCCCGCGCAGGCTGAACAGGCCGCGGCCCCGCAGGCTCAGCCGGCGGCGCGTGGCCGGCGACAGGCCAGCCCGAGGCCCGGCGGCCGGAACGGGCGGCCCCAGGGCGCGCCGGGGACTGTCGCTCAGGGTCAGGCTGTCCTCCAGCGTGGTCTGCAGGCTGCCCGCCGAGCTGCTGGGGCTGGCGTCCAGCGACGTGTCACTCACGGTGGCCTGCAGGAGGGAGGAGGGGCTGGGGCCTTCGGAGTCCCTACAGCTGGAAGGGGCCCTTCCTTCTGGGGTGGGCGCAGCCCCTCCAACCCCTCAGGAACCCCCAGGTCTTACAGCTTTGCCCTCTGCCACACCTGAGCTTATGGAGGCTCGTGGCAGACACTGCATGAGGCACCCTGTCCCTCTGCCCCTCACTCAGTGGGCAGCCAGAGTTATCTTCTCAGACCCAAGTCAGAACCCAGCCCTGCCCTTCACAGGGGGCCAGCTCAGTCCAGACATCTGATAGGAGGAGGAGGAGGAGGAGGAGGAGGAGGAGGAGGAGGAAGCCCACCGCAGGGGCTCACACCTGCAGGGCCCCTGTCCTCCAGGCCCACCCTTCCACCAGCACCTCCTCAGGAAGGCCTCCATCCCCCCACGCCCAGCCCCTCCGGGTGCCCACTCTCCCAGCATGCATCACTTCCCAATACACTGCACTATGTAGACAGTTATCTTCTCTGCGCCCACCAGGCTGCACACACTCCAAACAGGAGCTATCAGCCCTGGGGCAGGGAAACTGTGCCTGCTGCCTGCTGGGGCACACCGCCTGGCACCCCAGGCACCCCAGGACACAGCCAGGGTCAGCCATCCCTGAATGGATAAATGAGGCAGGAGTGCCTGCCAGCCCCGCCTCCACCACCACAAATGGTCTGCTGGCCTCTGCACTATGTGCGGTGGTCCTTCTGTACTATGTGCTGTGGTCCTTCTGTGTGCATGGTGACATGGGGGCTCTAGCTCCAGGCAGTCCAATACCCAGCAGCCCCACCTTCCACCTCTGCTCCCATCAAGCCCCTGCCACACCCACCCAGAGCCCCACCCCCCACAAAACCCTCTTCTGATGAACTCAGGGGGTGCCCATACCTGCCGGAGGAGGGTGCAGTTGACACTCGGTGACCGCAGGGATGCCCAGGAGCCCTGCAGGGCGATCTTGGGGAGGGTCCCAGCGCCAGCGCCCTTATTCTGCGCTTTCTGGCTGGCAGACACAGCCGGGTGGAAGAACTCTGCAGGCATGGTCAGCAGTGGGCTGGAGGCATCTGGGGAATAGGGGGTGGGGGGCGCTGCTGAGGAGAAAAGAGACAGAGCTGGGGCAGGCTCAGGCTGCAGGTGGCCCTGAAGGCTGGGCGCTGAGCAGGCTGACGGGGTTGCCAGGGAAGGGCCACAGCGAGTCCTGCTCTCTGAGCCTCAGTCAGCCAACTGTGACGGCAGGAGGCACTGAGCCAGCCAGAGTGACTCCTGGAGGACAGGTACTGAGAAAGCCACAGCTTTAGGAGCCAAGCAGACCAGGCTCAAGGCCTGACCATGTCTCTTCCTGTGAAAACCACACCAGGTGCTACCTGGAGGCATCCAGCAGGCCCTAAATAAGCAGCAGCAGCAGAGTCTCCACCCAGAACCAAGTATTCATAAGTGCTGACTCCCGAGCAATAGCTACCCTCAGGCCTGACACCCCAGGGGCCTGGCCCTCTAGGACAACAGTCAGGGCTGACCTTCCCAGCTCTGGGCAGGGGCCTGCACTGGCTGAGCCCAGCAGACAGAAGCTGCAGGGTCCGGCAGTCAGCTGTGCTGGGGATGGACAGAGAGGCACAGGTTGGGGAGCCCGAGGCCAGGGCAGGGCTTGGGTGTGCTGGGGAGGACGAGCAGCAGCAGCCTCCCCACAGTCCCCTCCACACCTTTCAGGATGGGGTGGGCACAGGATTTGGAAATATATAAGTAGGCAACCCAGATGGCCATACAGCCTGAATGTCCCCAGGTGGGTGGGATTCCTAGTCTACACAGCTTTATTGTTTAAGAAAAAAGGCAACAGAAATGGTTCACTAAGGGATGAGATTCCATTCAATCAAAAAGGCTCTTGGGTCCGACCCTATGCCCAGATTTTTACTTCAAGAAGTCTGGTGGGGGCTGGGGCTCAGGGGTAGAGCGCTCGCCTAGCAAGCACAAGGCACTGGGTTCGATCCTCAGCACCACGCAAAAATAAAATAAAGATATGGTGTCCACCTACAACTAAAAAGTAAGTATTAAAAAAAAAAGTCTGGTGGTCTCGGCACCTCAGCCACCATGTCCAGCAGAGAAGCTATTAGCTTTAGTGAGGGTCCTTGGAGAAGCACCTACCCCAGTACCTCAGAGGCACCCAGGGCAGACATTTCAAAAGAGGCCTTGGGGGTGGGCTCAGAGTCTGGGGTTTCTCTTCTGCTGGATTTCTTTTCTCTGTCCTCTTCCCCCAGAAAGTTTTGTGAACCTGTCACCCTCCAAGACGACTGCAGGCAAAGGTGAGCCCAAGGGACAGGCAAGCTCAGTCCCCTACCTCTACAAAACAACTCAATAATCAGGCGGCTTTCCTTCTGTTTAACAAAGAGAGCTGTGTGCACAACCTGCTTCCCTTTTCACCACAGCTCCTAGGAACCTCAGCATTAGCTTAGCCCAGCTCCTATTATAATTATCATCTCATCTCTGGAGCATTTGCCTCTTGATGTTTTATCATAATCATATCAAACCTCAGAGTCTATCTCATTGTCAGATATCCATCTGGTTCTTTCTGGAATAAACATAACAGTCTGGGCAAAAATACCAAGGAAACACTCAACCACCTCGGTCTGAAGCAGATGCCCAAGATCAGGCTCGGGGGGCTGGGGGCCCCATCCCTCACCTTGACTGCTCTCATGTTTCAGCCAGGACCGGACAGGGTTGAAGGGGATTGCCTCCATCTCACACAGGAAGTTCTCTGCACCCGAGGACATGGCCATGTTGGACAAGGGGAAGAAGCACTCGCCCAGGTCCCCGACCCGTGTGGGCTCAAGTGGGTCCAGCTCACCCTGCAGGAAAGGGAGGTGGACAGGTCAGGAAAGTGGAGGGGGGACAGAGGCTGGGCCTGCCACAGCCACCTCATGGCCCTGCTGCTCTGTCCCTGGTTCCATCTGCCCTCAATGCCTGGAAGGCCCCACCTCCCCTCCCGCACCCTCAATACGCGCCACCTTCCCATCTCTCAGCGGAAGGGCCCCTCCTCCAGGCAGCCCCCTCCAACACCCCAACCAGTGGTTCCCCGTTTTCTCTCCTCTTGACTCTTAGATCCTTGAGGGCAGCAGAGTCCCCTTCATCCTCTGGAACCAAGAGCCTGTGCAGACCCTGGCCCAGGGCAGAAGCCAAGCCAAGGGCAGTGGAGGCAAGGGCACAGGAGGAGAGGCCACAGCAGCCTCCCTGTCGCATGGCCGTGGATGGCCCTTCCCTCTGCTGAGCCTCTGTCTGTACATCTGGAATTGGGGGCATGACCCTCCTTTCTGGCCACAGCACTGAGCTCCGGCATTCCTCAGCCCCGCGGCCCAGGGTGGCTCTGCCTAGAAGTTCCTCCAGAGCTACCTGGACGCCCCTCAAGACAGATGGACTCGGACCCCCAGATTTCCACGACTTGTTCTTGGAGTCAAGGACGACTAACTAGGCTGCACCCTGCCTGAGCCCAGCCACTGTGCACCCAAATCCTGCCGGAGGGCAGCACAGGGTGCAGGGGGCCTGGGGGCTGCTCACCTTGCTGTCTTTGGGGCCAGGCGGGCAGGCCGCGGGCTCCTCGAGGCTCAGGTCGTCACCCAGCAGGATGGACGAGGACTTGTCCGAGTTCAGGGAGAAGGCCTCTGTCTCAGCCAGCTGCACCTGCGGGAGAGACGGCGCCTGGTCACCTGTGGSGGGGGCGGCAGGCCTGGGAAGCAGAGCACCGGGTGACGGGCCTCAGGGAGGTCGGAGGGCAGTGTTCAGAGAGGTCTAGGGGCCTGTTGGGCACAGTGACACACGATGTGACACGGGGTCACCTCTGAAGGGAGCCAGGCCTGGCAGCCCACCTCCAAGTGCCCGTGGAGGCTGGGCCAGGTCGGCTCCTGTCGCCTGGATGGACTCCCTGCTCAGTGTGTCCCAGGCAGGGCCCAGAGACCCTGGGAACTTGGGGCCACTGATCTCACCTGATCTGATCTCTGAGGCTGGGGCTCCCCAGCAAGAGCCCTGTGCCCCCCGCCCCAGAGAGACAGGGAGCTGCGGGGACGGGGGCAGAGGCCACTTGCCCAGCCTCCAGGACCACGTGGCTCTGGGGCCCAGAGCAGGACCCCCACAGGCCTCGCGGCACCCACACGAGGACCAGCCTCCTCCCTGGCTGCTGCTACCTCCTGTTGGTCATGGTGACACTTCTCGCAGCCGGCRGGAGAGGCGTAGTGGTGGAAGATGGAGCCGGACAGGTTGTCGATGATGGTCAGCTCCCCCTCCAAGGAGTCCTTGATGATTAAAGAGACGCTGTCCAGCCACAGGTTCTCCTAGGCGGACGGGGACGGGGTGGGGACAGGTGGGATTATCGACCGGGTCCCGGGACTGCGGGTGGGTGGGGCAGAGCTGCCCTCCCGGTCTCTGCGCCCGTGGCCTGGACCCTGTCCCCTTGTCACAGGGTCACCCCTTTTGGAGCTGAGCATGGTGGGGCCCCAAAAGACAGAGGTCTCTGAGGAGGCCTCCCCAGCCCCACTGTCCCCCAGCCCACAGTGCCCACCTCCTGGGGACCCTGGCGCCCTCGGAGGCAGCCACCCACCTGGGCTGGGGAGTAGCAGCGCCGGCACAGGCGGCCCTCGGCGTCACCCCCGCCGCCTGCCCCCCCTGGCCCTCGGCCCGGGGCCCCCGGGGAGCTGGGGGGCGGCCGCGGGCTGGGGCCCAGGCCATGTGCCATCTCCAGCTCGATCTCGGCGTCCATCTCGGCGTCCTCCTGCGCCTCCTTGTTGCTGTCGTCCAGGTGTTTCATGAGCACGGCCACCACCACGTTGATGAGCACGAACTGCGCGGTGAGCACGAAGCTGACGAAGTACAGCGGCGACACGAACTGCAGGCTGCTCAGGCAGCTGTGCTCCTCCTGCGTGCAGTCCCGCAGCGTGTCCTGCGGGCGGGCGGGAGCCGTGAGGTGACAGCCAGGAGTCCGACCCCCCCACCCCCGCAGGTCCTCGCGGCCCCCACCCCACCTGGCTTGTGGTGGCATCTGCCTGCCTCGGCTTCAGCTGGGTCCCTAGTGGCCCTGCCACCTCCCTGCTCACTCCACCCACTTCACCCCCTGCTTCCCAGGGCCACCATCAGGCCCAACCAGGACATCCAGGGGTCTTCTAGGGGGTCTGTCCCTGCCGTCTGGCTCTTAGGTCACCTCAACCCCCAACCAACAAAGCAGGGGAGGTCTCGCCACCTGCCGGGGCCCCTGTGAGGGGGCTGCTCCTCCTCCCAGCCGCCCTGATGTCCCTCTTACTTGCTGGGGTCATTCTAGAGAGGCCCATGTGGGATGCAGAAAGGGACACTCGGCTGCCAGTCTCCACCCAAGGAGGCCAAGGCCTCACCTCTGTCAGCGGGTAACAAATGGTGCCTCCCCATGTTCCACCCTCCTGCCCGGCTCTTGCAGAGGCCCGTCCCCTAGAGGACGGCACTACCTATCCTGGCCTCAGCCACCTTGCTGGGCCGCAGGGCCCCAGGCAGGTCCCTCTGCTCCTCTCCTGTGTGCAAGAAGACACCGGGTGTGCAAGAGAGCGCAGTGACCAGCAGGAGTGGCACCTGCACTCAGTTCAGAACGCCCCCCCAGCCTCCCTCCCCAGCCGCCCACAAGCACCTTCATGATCCCGTTCCAGTTGTCGCCTGTGGAGACCTGGAAGAGCGTGAGGAAGGCCATGCCGAAGTTCTCAAAGGTGGCGTGCCGGCTCATGCCCTCGCAAGGGTTCTCCTCATTGCAGACTGAAAGCAGAGAGGGGCTCAGCCCGTCCCGCAGGCAGGCCCCCAGCTTCCTCCCAGATTCCCCACAGTGACCCCCGGTGCGTGCAGACTGTCTACAGCTAGAGACACCGGGCTAGGGAGGTACTAAGCAGGCTGGGGCTCAGGTTCAGGAGCATCCGGCTTCTCCTCCAACCCAGGGGCTGAAAGAGGATGGGTGGGGTAGGGGCCAACCCCTCAGGGAACCCACTTTCTGGAGCTAACCTCGGGCTGATCCAAGGGCTGAGCTCAGTGCCACGCTGCCCTCTGCCCTGCCTGGGCCCTTCTGCTTGCTGGGGAGGTCCTGGCTGAAGATGGACACTGGCCCAGGGGCAGGGGATGACAGGGTCCCTGGGGACCAGACAGCTGGGGCCTAGGGGACCACCACAGGCCAGGAGCACAGGTGGGCCAGGGGCCACCCATAGAAGCTCAGGCTCCGCCCACCGGGGCATCTCCCGGTACAGTGACAGAGTGGAGGGGTGGCTCAGGCTCCCCCAGGCTGCCAGGGCCTCCTCCAGCCCCACCCTGGCCGGCCTCAGGGGTCACTCACCCAGCTTCCCAAAGAGCTCCACCCCCAGGGCGGCGTAGATGAAGAAGAGCAGCATAAAGAGGAGGCCCAGGTTGCCCACCTGCAGGGAGAGGCAGGCGGGGCCAGTGGTCAGCGGCAGAGGGGCTGGGTGGGCAGAGGGCAGGGGAGGGCAGGGGCGGAGGCCCCGGCCAGGGAGGGTGCAGCAAAGGCCCAGCTGTGTGCCCATGGCTGCCCCCGCGACCTCCTGGAGGGTGGGCGGGACAGCATGGGCACAGAATAATGAAACGCTGGCCAAGTCTTCACCTGTTTCCACACCCGGCTGCTCATTCGCATCCCYGAACCATCCTCCCAAGCCACGCCCACCCGCAGGCCACGCCCAGCCACGCCCCTCGGCCACACTGGAGTCTGCGGCAATGCCACCTTTTTGCGAAGCCCGCCCGGATTCCCGGGTGGAATGAACACATCCTGACAGCCCCACTGTAACAGGTGTGCCCTGGCACTGTCCTCTGCAGGTCTGGGAGCCCTGGCACTGTCCTCTGCAGGTCTGGGAAGACCCTGCTCCTAAGGACTGGGTGAAGTCCGCTGTGGCTCCTCAGGCCAGCGCGGGGCCTCGGAGAGGAACAGACAACCCTCACGGCCGCAGCCCGTGGGCACAGAACACTAGAGACGCAGCCAGCGTGGCAGCCCATGGCTCTCGCAGGAGGACACGCCCCAGATTCCAAAGCCAGTTCCATCCGCCCGCCTGAGACCGCCTTCACCTGGAGCCACCGATAAGGTAAGGCCCATCTGTCCCTGCCCTGGAAATGCCATCCCTCCCGGGCCCTCCGAAGGCCCGGTGAGTGGGATCAGGCGCGTTCCTGCTAATTGCTGAAAGTGAGCCCCTGATCACGAAGGCTCCTGAGCAGTTTCCTTCCCAGCCGCTCTCCAAGCCGGTGTCTGGCTCATTAAATCACGTTCCGTTCACTAATGAAACAAGCACTTAGTGTGCACCTCCGACGCCAAGCTGGAGGCCCTGGCAGCTGAGAAGGATCCGGCRTGGCAGAGGCCCTCGGAGCTCAGCTTGTCGCCCTGCTCAGGCCCAGGGTTGGGGGCTCCTTAACCAGGGTCCCTTCACCTTCCCATCACCTTCTCCCTCCACCACAGCACCCCAAGCCTGGATGGCCCGGGCAGCCTCCTCCCTAGCCTCCCTGCCTCCAAGCTCCCCTCCAATCTCCTCATAGTCATCAGAGCAACTTTCTAAAAGGCCTCCCATGCCCAGACCCTCCTGTGGCACCCGTCTCTGCAGAATAACGTCCAAGTTTACTGCCTCAGAACCAAGGTCTGCTGTCCTGGCCTGGGGTTCCCCTCTCACCCTGATCTTGAACCTGGGACTTCAGTCCTTTGGGAAAGGACCCCGTGGTACCTTTGCACACCCTGTTCCCTCTGTCTTTGCCCAGCTCCTGGGTCACCCCCTCTGAGGAGCCTTCCCTGAGGCCTCCTCCCTCTGCACGGAAAGGGTCAAGGTCTCCTTTCCACCAGGCTTCACGTACCACTGAGGAAATGTCCACTGTCCACACAGCAGATGTCGTGGGCAAGCTCTCCCCCTGACCCATGGACACACTATACTTGTCATGTGCTCTCCTAAGGTGCTGTAATGACCACCGTCTGCCTCCTACGGAAAGCTGGACCCTTCCGGACCTCCACGTGCCCCGTGCCAGCGCAGCACTGGGGGCCAGGACACGGTGCTCAGGGTCAGAGCTCAGGAGAGGGGCGCAGCGGACCTCCACGTGCCCCGTGCCAGCGCAGCACTGGGGGCCAGGACACGGTGCTCAGGGTCAGAGCTCAGGAGAGGGGCGCAGCAGGGAGCCAGGAGGCTGGGCACCCACCACCACCACACCCGCTCCCACCTCCGGCTGCTCAGCCCGCACCGCATGGAGCAGGCTCTGCTCGGGCTTGGCGAGCTGCCACCGTGTGCAAACCTGCCGCGGCCCCCAGCCTCAGCACTGCCAGCACCCCACTCCACGGGCAAGGAGACCGAGGCAGGAGAAGGTCAGACGCATGCCTGGCRCCCACACTTTGATCCCAGGCCTGGTGGCTCCAGCTCACTTCCTGCCACACACCCCCAAGCTCTGCACCCCACCCCTGCCATCTCCCATGTGTGAGGGGGAAGCCCGTCTCTGAGCGAATGCCTTCCTCTCCCACCAGACAGGAGAGCCTGTCACCCTCCCTCTGTAGCCAGGCCGCCAGGAAGCTCACACTAAACTTAAGAGAACCCACTGGCGTCCCCAGCAAGGCCCCCACATTCCCTGGGCCGTCTTCATTCTTATTTTGAGTGTGCTGTGTCTACACCGCTGGTCTTAAGACCCCAAAGGCCCTTGAGACTGGGTAAGTCCTAATGAATCAGTGAATGCCCCGGGGGCTCAGCGACCAGGCCTCCTGAGCAGAGCCCCAGCCACTGGGGAGGGGGGTGGCAGTGGGACCTGGCACAGATCAAGGGACTTTTCTGACTGCTCAAGGTCCCCCTCCCAGGCCAGGGTCTCATTCTGAGCCCTCTCTCCACTCCACGGGCCATGCCTTCCAGGTGAGCCTCAGAGCCCCCTCCCCTGTGTGGCCTCCCACAGGTTCCTCCTGGAGCCACTCTCACCTGGGGCAGAGCCTGCACCACTGTGTCCAGCAGGGCCCGCATCCCCGTGGCCATCTTCAACAGCTTCAGCACTGTGGGTGACACGCAGCCCGCGGCTCAGCCCAGCCCCAAGGAACCCGAGTGTGCACAGCACGTGCAGGTGTGTGCGCCGAGGACAGGTGGGAAGTGGGGGAGCATGCAAGCTGAGCCTGCCCTGCCCGTGGCTGCCCCTGGATGCCATGTCTGGGGTGTGCACAGCCCCAGGTGGGGACGTGGGTGTGCAGAAGCCATAGGGAGTGGGTCCGAGCAGGTGGGAAGGAGCGTGTCATTAACCCCCAGGAGGCAAAGGCAGCCAATGTGAGCACCCAGGTCCCCTCCTCCCCTCGGGCGAAGGAGGACTCGCGTCCCTCCTGAGTCTCTGTACGCCCTCTCCACCTCTGGGGAGAGGCAAGGGGATCAGAGGACGTGCTGAGGACTGAGTGTCCCCAGCCCACCTGGGCAGAAATGCCAGGCAGCCACTAGAGCTCTGTCAGTCTGAGACTAGACACAGGGATCATGGTGTGACAAGGTGGCAGAGGTGGGCACAGGTGCGAGGGGGAGGGCGCTTCCCGACTCCTGCTCTGCTTGAAAGGGATCCCTCACGTCACCCGGCCGCTGTACACTCCCCCTGGGAATGAGGCATCTCATCCTGCCCCGACTTGCCCCCGTTCCCTGCCCTGGCAGCCGCTGCCCCTCACCCCGGGCAATGCGCAGAACCCGCATGATGCGGATGATGGTGGGGTTGATGGGCAGGGCGGCGTTGATCTCAATCTCCTCCAGCGTGATGCCCATGACGGACAGCAGCACGATGGCCAGGTCCAGCTGGTTCCACCTGCTCGACAGGCAGGGGGCAGAAGTAGGGGTCGGGGGAGGAGTGCTCTGGTCCAGACACACCGTTGCTGGGGAGCCTTCAGGGTTCCACCCTCCTATTGTGGCCCTCTGGGATCTGTGGCCACCTTCCCAAACAGCCTCCAAATGCACTGAGTCCAGTCCCCTCTCTATGCCCCCATGACCTCTGCTCCCCAATCAAGGGGTCAACCAAGCTAAATAAACATCTCTGGCCTCCTTCAGGGTAAGAGCATAGAGCTCCAACTTCTAAATCTCAATCTTATTTTATTTTATTTTTCTGGTCCTGGGGATTGAACTCAGGGGCACTCGACCACTGAGCCCCATCCCCAGGCCTACTTTGTATTTTATTTAGAGACAGAGGCCTCACTGAGCTGCTTAGTGCCTCACCATTGCTGATGCTGGCTTTGAACTCAGGATTCCCCTGTCTCTGCCTTCCGAGCTGCTGGGATTACAGGTGTGTGTCACTGCGCCCAGCCTAAATCTCAATCTTGAGCCCACCTTTTCCCTTGGACCCACTGATCATCTCTCTGAGCCTCACTTGTTCCCTCTGGAAAGGAAGATTAGCATGCAGGCTTGGAGGCTGAGGGGAGCCTGGTGGAATGCCCTGCACCCTAAAGTGAGACCTAAGCACTTCCTACTCAGGGATATAGGCAGCCGCTGGGAGCCCCTGGCCATCAATGACTAGGCGCTTATTGGTTCCCCTCTGGCTTCTCCAGGTCTCTCAAGAGGCCAGGACTGCTTCCCCACCCTGCTGCACCCACCCAGCCCAGTCACTCACCGGTCCTTAAAGAAACGTCTCAGGCCAAATGCCACCAGCTTCAGCACAGCCTCCAGTACAAAGACTGTGGTAAACATGTAGTTGCAGTACTTGAGGGCTGTCTCCAGGGACTACCAGGGGACAAAGAGAAGCATGATCCAGAGCCCATACCTTGCCCCAACAACCTTCTGCCAGTCAGAAAATCTCTGCCTTTTAGGAGAGAATTTAGTCCATTCATGTGGCGCACACACACACAATCTATATATGTGTGTGTGTGTGTATATATATGTATGTTTATATGTATGAATACATATATTTGCTTTATTCCTTCCATCTTCTTTAATGTAGATTATTCATTTTTTTCATTGTTGTTCCCTATTCCCTACTGTGTTGGCTTGGTGCAGCTGGTCCTCTTTGGAGGCAGTCTGGGTTAGCAGTTAAGGACTTCCTAACTGGACTGCATAGATATGAAACCTGGCTTAACATTTACTCCTTATTCACTGTGTGACCTTAGGTGAGTTCTTGGTCCTTATGACAATTTCTTAACCTGATTGTGGAAAATAATAGCACCTGTCTTGGGAAATTACTGTGAAAATTAAATGAGCTAATGTTCAGTGCTGGGCCCAGCATGAATCCCTGGTGAATGTGAGCTGTGGTTATTCCGTTTCTTCATGTCAGTTTGGAAGTTCTCCGTGTCTGTTGTCCTACCAGGGTCTCCTTCCTTTCCCTTCATCCATAACAGTGCTACCACTCGGAATTCCTCCCCTGGAGGCTCTTCCCCCTTTTCCTCCCAACTCATTAAGTTGAGGTTTTTAGAATGCACTTGCTCCACACATTCTCCTCATGCACCCTGTCTGCAATTCTAGGAACTGGTCACGCTGTCCCAAATGTCACCTCCCCCACCCACCAGGCACGAGTGGCCTTTCCCTCTGACCATTCCATTGTGGGCATCTGCCCTACCAAGCTGTGGGCTCCCTGGGGCGAGGCTGTCTGGAGCCTCCTCCCCCTGCAGTGCCCAGCACAGGGCCCCACAAGGAGGGGTGACTCAGATCCTGCTGTCAGCTGACCCCCTGCCCATGCTGTCCCTGTGGTGGGGTCCTGCTAAGGCCCCATTCTCACCCTGTGACTGTGAGCTGGGAGCAACCCTGGGCTCACCGTGGGCTGGTTGTAGTGTTCCAGGGACATGGTGACCACATTGAGGCAGATGATGAAGGTGATGAAGATGTCCAGGTAGTGGCTGGTGCACATGGAGTGGATGAGCAGCCGCGTGTGACAGTAGGTGGCGTAGTAGGGCAACCTCTGGGCCTCTGCAGTGGGGAGAGTGGCCCAGACCACAGTTGGAACCAAGGGGAAGGGGACAGAGCACAGAGGGGCCGGTGCTGGGGGTGGGAAACCCCCTGGTCACCCAGGCCCTGGAGCAGAGTGAGGCCCCCTAGCCAGGGTGCCAGGAGGGGAAGAGTGAGAGGTGGTGGAGGGAGGCCAAGGGGCAGGACACAGATTCTCACAAACACCCCAAACATGGCCTCAGCAGGGACTCTGGCTCTGCTGCCAGATGGGGGTGGACCGGGGGCCCATGGCCCAGGGCCAGGCATCCAGGTGTTGGGGTTTTTGTTTTTGTTTTAGTTTTTGTTGTTGTTGTTTTTGTCACTGGGGATTGAACCCAGGGGCACTGGACCACTGAGCCACATTCCCAGCCCTAGTTTGTATTTTATTTAGAGACAGAGTCTCGCTGAGTTGCTTAGCTCCTCGATTTTGCTGAGGCTGGCTTTGAACTCTCGATCCTCCTGCCTCAGCCTCCGCAGCCACTGGGATTCCAGGCGTGCACCACCAGGCCTGGACAGATTTTTTTGGTTTTGCCCCCTGCCTGGACTGAACCACCTCCAGCCCAGTCCTTGTTGATGGTGGGATCACCCATCCAACCCTAGTGGACTCGTGCCACCTGGTCAGGCGGAAGCAGGGACAAAGGGCCGAGTCCCACCACCGGGATCACATTCTTTGTTCCTTCCAGCTCCCTGGAGGCTGGGGTCAGGCCCAAGCCTCGGTTCCAGAGGAGCATCAGCTGGGGTCACGGGGCCTGGCTGGGCGACAGCACACACCCCGGCCCCCGCGCTGCCCACTCACTGCGCCGCTTCTTCTCCAGGCGCCGCAGCCGCTTCTCCTCGCGCCGCCGCGCCTCCTCCGCCTCCTGGTGCTGCCGGCACTTGTGGAAGTTCTCCACCACCACGCCCACGAACATGTTGAGCACGAAGAAGCTGACGATGAGCAGGAAGGAGATGAAGTACAGCAGCATCCAGGGGTTGTGGTTGGTCACAGGCTGCGGGGAGCAGAGCCAGGGCTGAGAGCTGAACGCGCACCGCGGGGCCACGCGGGCCCCGACCTCTCCCGGCCTGGGCGTAAAGGGGGACTGAAGCAGCGGCCTCCAGGGGAGCTGTGAGGCTGGAGCGAGGCCTTGGGCAGAGCATGCGCACCCCTGGCCCAGGAAGGGACTCAGCACAGAGAACCCTTCTCCTTCCTGAATCTAAATGCTGGCTCCTGGGCACATCCACCTGCCCTCTCACTCACCTAGCCATCCTCTCACCTGGGCAAGCATCCAGCCTCCACCCACCCACTTATCCATCTATCCATTCACCCCTTCATTCATCCATTTATCTATCACCCACCCCTTCACTTATCCATCCATCCATCCATCCACCCATCCATCTGTTCATCCATCTGTCCATCCACCTGTCCATCCACTTATCTGTCCGTCCATCTATCCATCTGTCCATACACCCACCCACTTATCCATCCATATACCCATCAACTGATCCATCATCCATCCACCCACCCTTCAGTTATCCAACTATCCAACTATCTATTCATCCACTTATCCATCCACCCATCCATCCATCCATCCACTCACCCATCTGTCCATCCACTTATCTGTACGTCCATCCATGCACTTGTCCATCCACCCACCCACCCTTCACTTATCCAACTATCCAGTTATCCACCCCTCCCCACCCCCACTCCACTCACACATACGTACACATATAAACACACCTATACACACACTTATCCATCCAACCAGAAACAAGGCAGCCAGCAGAGGGGCGGGCACTGCCTGGCAGTCTGCACGTGCCCATGTACTGCTGGGGTGGGGACAGAGCACACAGCAGGTGCAGGAAGGTGCCTCCAAAGGTCCTGCCCCCAACCACCTCTAGCTCCGGAGTCTAACCAGGTAGGACCATAAGAACAAGAGCCAGAGACCACTCACAGGCCTGGAATCCCTGCAGCCCGACTCCTCCAGAGCGGGCCTGTCCTGTCCTGGACGCTGGCCTGCTCCTCCCAGCCAGCCCCTCAAGCTCCCTAGGTGTGGACACAGCCAGCCCTGGTCAGCGTGTGAAGTCACTGCCTAGACGCACAGGGGACCTCTGGAGCCAAGGCCCAGGCTTTCTCTCAGGCCCAGACTTGTCCCCGACCCTTTCCACCCTGTCCCTATCCCCAGGCCCACCCTCACCCCACAGCCCAGGAGGGGCCCCCGGCATCCTGAGCAGCAGGACACGCCACTCTCCATGGCTCCCTGTGCCCTCAGGACGAACTCCTGCCCCTTGCCATGGCCAGGGGGGTCTCATGGACACTCAGCTCTCCTGGCCTCCTGCCTCCCGTGACTCTTGCCTGGGACCTGCTCTCCCTCGGCCGGCTGGTCAGCCCTCCCTTCTACACTTGGCCTCCTCCCCCAGAGTCTGTGCCCCTCTGGGCAGGAGCCAGCTGGGATTCCTCTGTGCAGAGCAGGGGGTTCTAGAAGGGAAGGGAACCATGGCGTACACTAACACTGGGTGAGGATCAGCCAGGACTTGAGGGTGTGCTGGGGCTGACCACGGGGAGACACCAGAGCCACTGGCACAGGCTGCCCACCACCGGACCCCAACGGCAACCTGCCCCTCCCTGCTGTTCAGCCCCACCCTGCCCGACGATGCCCACCTGCTGGTCCACAGCCACGGCATCCAGTCCGTTGTACATGATGTTCACCCAGCCGTCCTTGGAGGCCAGGACAAAGAGGGACATCAGAGCCTGGAAGACAGGGGAGGGAGGGCACGAGGTGAGGGACAAAGGGCTCAGGCCACACCTGCATCTCCAGCTCTCCATTGTTATGCCTTTGGGAGGCAGAGGGACAAAGAGGGCTTCCCTGTGTGGCAGAGCTATGCTCTCAATCCACAAACCTTCCTGAGGACCTACTGTGTGCTCGCCATGTGCCCCTATAGCTACTGTTGCAGGAAGAAGAGCCCAGGGTCTGAGTTCCAGCTGCAGTCCTGAGATTAACCAGTCGTGTGATCACAAACACGAAAACTTGTGTGCTCCTGTTCCTCACCCACCAATGGGAACCAGTAAATGCCGCTGGGAGGAGCCACTGAGATTTTAAATGAGAAGCTTCCTGACAACTCCGGGGGTGCTCCCTAGGCTGCCCTTGGCAGCTTGAAGTCAGGATCTCCTGATAGAAGCCAGGATCCCTGGCTTACGGCCCAGCCTTTGCCACTCACTGGCTGGGAGACCTGGGGCAAATTCCTTGAGGTCTCTGGGTCTGTAAAATATGAAAAGGGGATGGTCCATGGGAGACAGCCAGCCAGGGCTCCTACATGGATGTCAGGCCAGAGTCCTCGTGTCCTTCAGCTGGGTCACAGGCTGGTCCCAAAGCACCCAGCACACAACCTTGTACACAGCAAGTGCTTAACCAAGGTTTTCTGCACTGAACTTGAGTGAGGGCTCCTGTGCTGTCTTTGGAGAGCAGAGCACAAGGGGGGTTATGGGCCACAAGGGCCCCACATAACCAGGCTGCCCAGAAGTCACGGTCTGCCCTGGAAGCCCCCCTCCCCAGGGCAGAGAGTCACACCTTCCCTTGTGCTCCAGCCACCCTGGGCTACGGAGCCAGGCCCTGCCCGGCCCACCCTTCCCACCCTCTAGGGCACAGCTCCCATCCTCTTCCCCTGCCAGGTGGGGAATGGTGCTGAGGGTGCCCCCAAAGTGCTCAGGCCCAGTGGCAGGCAGGGCAAGGGACAGCGAGGAACTACAGGAGGCCCCTAGATGCCAAGGCCCCCACTGCTGTGCCCACTGAGAGTTGAGGATCTGGAACTTCCTGAGGGCACACAGGAAGTGGCCCCCCAGGGAGTCAACCAAGACTCAGCACTGAGCACACCCACTCAGGGCTCCAGGGAGTCAGCCTGGGGTCAAGTGCAACAGATTAGAAAGACCAGGTCCTTCCAAAGGAGGCAGGAGCTGGCACTAGGTGGGGACCTGGGACCAGGAGCAAGCTCACAAAAGCCCCCCCCCTTCCTTCAGCGCCCTTCCCTGTTCACCAAACACTGAGTTATTAAACACTCCATGGCTGCTCCTGGAGAAGGGGTGGGGCGAGCTGACAGCAGTCCGTTTCTGACATGGTCTCCTGGCCACCACAGCCCCTCAAGGTCCATTGGCTCCCCCCATAGCTGGTGTGGGGGTGCCCCGTCCTGTGAATGAGAGCTTCGGGCGACCCAGCCAGGGGCTGCCCAGAGAGGGCGTGGGAGCGGGCGGCCCAGATCTTGCTCCATCCTTGGGAGCCCCAGGGCCAGGCACTCTCTGCCTGGGCCACCTGGACCTAGCTCCTGAAGGACCCTCAGAGGGACCGGTTGTGGGGAGGGGGCCCTTTGGAGGCAGCTAGCTGAGGACTGTCCTCTGGGCCACTGCCCCTGGGTCAGGCCTGGCAGGCCTCCAGGAGAAGAGACCAGGGGCACAGGAGCTCTGGATGGGGAACAGACAGGGTGGGTGCTGGTGAGGGCACCCACCCTGGATCCAGGAGCCTGCCACCCTGGTGGCTCCCACAGCTGCTGCCCCTTTCTACAGATGAGAAACCAAGTTTCAAAGAGGTCACACCCCACTCCACAGCAGAGCTGGAACGCACAACCAGGTGTGGCTGACTCTACGACTCGGGTCAGGACCCCCTGGGTGGGGGCAGAGGCCAGGACCGAAGTTCAGCGAAGAACTTATTGCGGGCCAGGCACTGGCGGGGCGGAGGCCCTGCATTCGGAATCTCAGCCTCAGACTACCTGTGAGGGCCAGTTCCTCTACCTGTTTTGCAGAGTAGGAAACCTGGGCTTGGAGAGAAGTCACAGTCCTGGCAGGGCAGGACTGGAGCCAGCTCTGACATCTCAGGGCCATAGGCATTGAAGAGCTGTCACCCCCAGGGGACAGGACAGATGGGGGGGTGGCCAGCACGCACCTGGCCCAGGTTATCGAAGTTGTACTTGTGATGGACCCAGCGGTAGTTGGCAGCCATGCAGTCAGAGCGGTTGGTGATGTTGCGGGTGTCCACGCCCAGGCAGTGGTAGAACTTGCCCTTGAAGAGCTGGGGATAAGGAGGGCAAGATCAGTGCTCCCAGGTGGAGGGGGCATTGCAAATCACAAGAGGAACCCAGGCCTCAGACTGCATCGGGTTCCCCTGAGCCCCAAGGTCAGCCAGCGCAGGTGGGGCCTCTGCCCTGGCTGTGCCCTTACACAGCCTCAGAACCCTCCCACCCCCCTCACCTGCACCCCCAAGATGCCAAAGATGATGAAGAAGGCACAGCAGATCAGGACAATGTTCCCAATGGGCTTGAGGGAGGAGATGAGCGTCTCCACCACCAGCTTCAGGCCAGGGGCCCGGCTGATGACCCTGCAGGCAAGGAGGTTGGGGAACTGTGAGCCCATGGCCGTGGGGAGGCAGCCACTGCTGAGTCCCCTAGTGAGTTCCAGGACTGAGCCCACTAGGGCATGAGGAAGACAGCATGAAACCAAGAGAAAGCAGGTGCCCAGATGTCAGCAGACCAGGGGTGAGCCAGGCCGCAGCCCAGATCTACAGGGAGAAGGGCACCTACCCTCCCGTCACTGTGCTTAGTCCCAGAGATAGCAGAGAGCCACCCAGAGACAGAAACAGGTAACCAGGTGGTGGTGGTGGTGGGGGGGTACTGAGGAAGGATGACAGGAGTTCCAAGCCAGCCTCACATCAACTAAGCCAGGCCTGTCTCTAAATAAATACATATACATTTTATGTATATATTAGATGTGTATTATATATTCACATAAATGCATACATATGTGTGTGTACAGAGCGGGGCTGGGGATGTGGCTCGATGTTTCAATGCCCCTGGGTTCAATCCCTAGTACCAAGAAATGAAAGAAAGACGTGTACTATGGGAGGACAAAATGAGTCACATGTCACAAGGGCCTTAGGCATTGAAGAGCTGTCACCGGGGAAGGGTCCTCACCGCAGAGGGCGTAGGGTGCGCAGGAGCCGCAGGACTCGGAGGACCCCCAAGATCTTGGCTCCCCCAGCCGAGGCTAAGGACACCACGATGTCGATGATGGACACGAAGACGAGGAAGCCGTCCAGCACGTTCCAGCTGCTGCGCAGATACGCCTGCTCCCCGAAGTACAGGCCCAGCGAGACCACCTGGGGGCGGGGCCGGGCGGGGTCAGGCCCAAGGCGCCGCACGAGGGGAGGGCGAGGGTGAGGGGAGGACGAGGTGGGGGGGTCTTCGGGAAAGGGGGCGCGGGGACAGATGGGCTGGGCCAGATAGGTGGCGAGGACGAGTGGGCAGGGGACAGCTCCACGCAGACCCTGGGATGGGCGGGCAGTAGGCGGGGACGGGGCGGAGTCAGGACCCAGGGCGCCTCCCGCTAAGGTTCTCCCAGGACTTCTGGCAAACCCAAGGCGAAGCCACCACGCTGGGCAGCGTCCCAGAGGGAACCTTCCCCCTGCTCCCCGCACCTCCAGCAGCTCCCCGGTTACATTCCCTGCATTCGCCTTTCTGGCGAGGTTGTGACTCCTGGAGGGGGGGCATGCCGCTGACCCCTCCGGGTCCCAGGAGCCCAACCCAGGGGCGGGCGCTGACTGACAGGCCAGTGACAATCTGCGGGAGGGGCGGGGCCCTGAGCTGGGAGTGAAGGTGAAGCCCAGAGCAACCTTCAGTGTCATTTCGCCCACGAAGATGGCCGTGAAGATGTAGTTGGACACCGTGAGGAAGATGCGTTCCTGAAAGAGCCGGGAGATGCGGTGGGCCCAGGGGCTCAAACCTCCCAGCCACCGGCCCACGCTCTTGATCAGCCAGGAGAGGCCAACACTTCTCGGTTCAAGGTGGTCTGTCCCTCCCAGAGGCAAGCTCCCTGCCACATCTCCCTCCCTCCACGTGCCAGGAGTCTGGCCCTGCTGAGCTCTCCCTTGGTCTGGCTCACAGTCCCAGGGCAGGCCTGGTGCTGCATCTCTCTGCCTGGCCTCTCTGAGGGCTGTGGCTACTCACAGTGCTGCCGGCCTCTATCTGGGGCCTCTCCAGGGCGATGGTGATGCAGTTAAGGAAGATGAAGGCCAGGACCACATAGTCAAAGAGCTTGTGGGCGATGATGGTCTGACACAGGACCCGGAACCTAGGCAGAGGCAGGGCACCACGAGTGTCAGTTTGCTTCCCATCCTGACCAGAGGGGAGGCAGAGGATGCAGACAGACACACACACACAAGGGGCAGGCTGGCCTAGAAGAAGTGATCCCTCTCCTCCTCTGGACACACAACAGGTGTCGATTTTGCATTGTTCAGGGTGCAGACCACACACCCACACAGCAAAGGGTACCCACCTTGCCTGGCACTTAAGGGTCTCTGAACACCAGCCCAAATCCCAGATTCCAGGCCTCGGGAGACAAGGACACGACATTTCCTAACACTCAGGTAGTCTCTCAGGCTGCTCCCTCCTCCTGGACCAGCTTCCTCTTTCCGCCATCCTCYTCCCCTCTCCCCCTCCCTCCTGCACCCACTGGACTGTTATCTGCCTACAAAGCCCAGTGTCCTCCTCCAGGAAGCCTGCTGATGCTCCCTTCATGTGTGTACCCCGGACCTTTAGAGAATCTGCCCAACTGGATGCCAGCACAGAACTGGCCTGGGCTACAGGAAATGCCCACGAAACCCCCTGTCCTGCCGCCCCCGCCTCTGGGGTATGGCCTTGCCCAGCTTGGCAGAGAGCTTTCCCTCCACACCTTACTCTAACTCCCACCCCAGGCCGGCCCGCCCACCTGTTCTCCGGGGAGAAGAGGTAGACGGACCAGTCCTCGCGGACCTCGCACCAGTCAGGCTTGTAGACATCGATCATCTTGCGGACGCGGAAACACAGAGTCTGGAGAGAGGAGGACCAGGCGCGGGGGTCAGCACCGCGCAGAGCGACCTCTCTCTGCCCACCCGGTCATCGGGCCAACTGGGCACTGGGCGATCTGGGAACCCCGCCCCACCCCAGGCGGCGGGGAGCGTTTCCCCGGGGTAGCCCCCCCCCATTTTCTGGCCCCGCCCCTCGGGCCACAGTTTTAAGCCCCACCGCTCTGGCCACGCCCCGACGCCACGCCCCATGGCCCGCCCCCTCGAGCCCACCTCTGCTTGCACCGCGCCCTTCCTGGTTCCCGGAGGGATCCCCACTTACGTAGTCGATCTCCTCCTCGTCCTCCCCGCGATCCCGGCGGTCGTCCATCTTGGTGAACACGTCCTTGGCGATATTGGGCATCCTGCCGTTGCAGTCCTCGTGCCCGGGGGCCATGCCCGCCGCCCTCCAGGCGGCCCTGGGGTGGAGGCCCATGGCGGGCACGAGCTCGGTCAGGTCCACCGAGTCCCGGGTGTCGAGGGACAGCGTCCGGCGGTGATGGCGATGACGGTGCGCCAGGTGGGGCCCATGGTGCACGTGGTGGGCGTGCGGGGCATGCAGCGGCGCAGCGCGCGGAGGCCCCTCCTCCCGGGCGCCCTCGCAGGCCCGAGCGCCACTGCGCTCCGCCGAGAGCAGGGACTCGTGCTCAGCCGAGGGCGGCTTGTGCTTGAGGCTGTTCCAGCTGGAGCGACGGCTGGCCCAGGCCCCGCTGCGGCCCCAAGGTCCATAGTAGGAGCTCCGGGTGCTGGACTGTGGGGGAGCCAGGGCTCGGGTCAGCGTCGTCGCGCACACCGGTGATGTGAGGCCTCCTGCAAGCCCCGCTGTGGCTCTAAGAGGGTCCCGGCCTGGCTAGCAGGCGACCCAATGGGTTAGGGGCTCCTCTGCCTGCTCTGCCTCTCATCCCACCCACGTGGACAAGTCCCCCCGGAGGTCTAATCCCTCCCTGCTACCTGTTCCCTTGAGGAACTAGAGCAAGTTACAGCCACCTTCCTATTTTACAGGAAAGGAAACCAGGGCTGTGAAGAGTGGTAATTTGCTCAAGGACACACAGCTCAGAAGTGACAGAGGCCAGATTCCAGCTCTAGTCTGCCTGACCCCAAATTCTTGACCCTACACATTTGCTACCAAGATGAAACCCAGTTCTGTGTGCCTGACCCCAGTCATTCCTGTTGCCAGGTCCTGCTCAGGCACTGGGCACCCAGGAATGTGACAGACATGGTCCTGCCTGGCTTGGGGCAATCCTTGTCCTAAGCCTGTGCACCCGAGTGTGAGTCTGAGGTTGCAGGCACCTGGCTCTGGGGTCCTTCAACCCACATCCCAGTGGGGGAGGCCCTTCTGGACGGAGCCCCCACCCACAGGACTCACCAGGGAGCGCTGGTCATAGCTCATCCGCCCCAGGGACATGACGCTGCTCTTGCGGGAGTCCAGGGCCACCAGCATGGGGTCTGGCTGCAGCGAGAGGCGGGACGCAGGGCCCACAGCCCCAGCAGGACCTAGGTGTCCGCCCAATGAGAGACTAGGGTCCAGGTGCCCATTGGGGGTGAAGGGGATTGGGCAGAGCTTGGGATCTGGAGAAGCAAGACGGAGACAGAGAGAGGGACAGATGGAAGACAGAACAGAACAAGAGCAAAGGAAACAAGACAAAGGAAAGGGTGTGGACATAACAGAAGTGGAGTACTTTATGAGGAGACTCCTCTACCAGGAAGCCTTCCAGGTTGCACCTCATCCCGTGTGCCTCCCCTGCACCCTGCCTCCAGGGCTCTGGGATCAGACCAGCCTGGACCTCCGCCCAGTACGAAGGGAAGGGAGCCTGGCTCCCTGGCCCACTGCAGGAAGCAGGCAGTCTGCCGGGGCTACCCAGAAGCCAGGGCTTGGGTTGGAGTGGCTGGGCTCAAGCTGCCTCGTGTTACCAGCCAGGACCACGGCCCAGGCCACATCGGAAGGCCCCACAGCTCTACCCAAGAGACTGTGGGAAGGGAAGCGGGTGGGCTGCAGTTAGCCCTGTGGCGGGACCCCAGAGGTCCACGAATGTCCTCTTTTGGAGAGTCAGCATTTCTTTCAGTTAGTAACACAAAAAACAAACACAGAGAATTAGCACTCTCTGAGCCTGGGGTCCAGGGGAGCAGATGCTGTGCCCTGGGCCCACCTGGGTCTCCAGTGAAGGCTCCTGGCCCCCAGGTGACGAGTGGAGGCCTGTTTACCTCCACTGCTGTCCAGGGCCTCCTGGAACTTGTCATACTCTTCCATGTTGGATGAGCTCTGGTCCTCATCTGAGTAGGAGCGGTTGGCGTCCCCCTGGGAGGCGGGCGCCGGTCAGCATGCAGGCCAACTCCCCTCCTTCCCGCCCTCCTTCCCTCTTGGGTTTGCCAATGGGTGTTTCCACTCTCCTTTTACAGATGGGAAAAGTGAGGCTCAGAAAGGGGAAGTAGAAGCTAATGGGGATCTAGGCCACCATCCCCCGCCTGCCCGACTGCACGTATTCCAAAGCCTTGGAAAATGGAGGGAGCGGGATCCAGAATTCCAGGTCTCAGGGCTTTAGAACCTCAGAGATGGGAAGACCTAGTCCTTCACCCTCGGGGGAGAAACAGGAATCCCAGACGCAGGCCCCAGCTGCGTCCCTCCTGGGACGGAGGCTCCCTGCCTCGTGGGCAGCCCTCCTCTGAGGATATGACACAGCCCCCCCACCACCCAGGCTCCTTCTCCCCTGCCTAGAGTCTCGCGGGCCCTGCGGGGGCGCTTCCTCCCCCAGGGCTGTGGTCACCTCGGCCTGGAAACCCTCCACCAGGATGGCCACCAGCAAGTTGAAGAGGACATAGTTGCCGAAGGTCATGAGAGCGACAAAGTAAAGGGAGGCCCAGGGGGAGGTGGAGGCCATGCCATTGTAGAGGACGACGTTCCAGTCCTCCTGGGTGAGGATCTGTTGAGGGAGAGACCAGTCAGTCCTGAGGTCCCTCAGCGCCACCTCTGTCTACCAGGAGGGAGGGGCACTGTCAACCTCAGTCCCACCCCATCCCAGGTGGTCTGCTGCCCAGGATCCCCTCCCCTGAAGTGCACCCACCTGGAACACTGTGACAATGGCCCAGAGCAGGGAGTCAAAGTTCTTCCTGTCAGGAACCGTGTCTCCCGTATCCGTGCGGAGGCTGAATTTGCAGCCAAAGATGTGCATCCCGAGGATGCTGGGGGAGGAAGGGAGGAAGGGGGCGGCTGGAGGGCTCCCATCCACCACGCTCTGCCTTCCCACCTGGTTTGGTCTCAGGCAACACAGTAAGGTGGGGAGGTGGGGGCGGGTGACAGTGTGGGGCCCATTTTCCAGAGGAGAACACTGAGGCTCCCTGGGAAGAACCTGCCCAGAGCCACAGGAATGTACTCCCCCATGCTCCTGCCCACAGCCCTGGCCGACCCTGTAGGTGGGGTCCCGGGTGGGCAGGGCTCACCTGAAGATGAAGATGAAGAGCATGAGCAGCATGCAGAAGGTGGCCACGTTGTCCATGGTCTTCATGAGCACCACGAGCTGGCGCCGCAGCGCGGGCATGAAGCGCACCAGCTTCAGCACCCGCAGCAGGCGGAAGGTGCGCAGCACTGACAGCCCGCCGTCCGCCTGCCCCACGATCTCCCAGATGCTGTGGCCAGCCAGCAGGGGCGCAGGGCCAGAGGGAGGCCGAGAGAGGAGGACGGAGAGGCCAGGCCGGGAAGACAGAGAGAGAGCTTTCACTCATCCACTAATTCATCCACCCAAAGGTAACGTGCTGGCTGCGGCTCCAGGGACCCCCCACCAGGAAGTCATGGCTAAAATCTGAAAACTCCATAAACGTCACTGTCCTCTCCGGAGGTTTAATGCTTCCTCTGATTACAAATATAAACGGCAAATCACAGAGGATTAGCAGTCCCGAGGACTTTTTGGGCAATCAAAATAACAGATATCTTTATGTTACATGACAGTGGGTGGAAAATTTCTGTTTGTTACGTGCATCCCTCCTTTAGAGTGACGGTAGTCACGGGCCTGCCGCTACATCTTGTTATTTAATGCATGAATCCAGAAGCATATATATTGCTAAATCAAGAATTAAAAAAAAAAATATTTGGATGACGGCCTCCAAGTGGTTGGCTTCCTTCATCACCTGTGCACTGGCTGGATCTGCACACTGTCCCCTGCCCTGCTGCAGAGCAGGAGGTGGGGGAGGGGTACCTGATGATGACGATGATGCTGTCGAAGATGTTGTAGGGGTTCCGCAGGTAATCAAAGAGCCCGAAGGCGGCCAGCTTCAGGATCATCTCCAGGGCGAACATGCTGGTGAAGACCACGTTGCAGATCTCCAAGATGTTGGTCAGCTCCTCGGGCTGTGGGGGCACAGCGGTGGGGGATGCGTGACCCCAGCAGGCCAGACACAGCCCGACGCAGAACCACCATCATGGAGGCTTCCAGCCCATGCACCCACTCTCAGAGGAGGACACTAAGACCCCAGGAGGTCAAGGAACTGGCCAAAAGGACACCAGCTTCCCATGACCCCCTCCAGCTGCAGACCTCCTCCTGCCCCTGGATCTTTGGCCTCATGCTTGTTAGCAGCAGGTGATAACTGGAAAACGGCACCATTGAAAGAGACCCTGCTGTCGGCCATGACTTGGGGCAAGGGATGGGTTCCCTTGGTTGGACGCTAAGTGGCTGTGCAGCCCACTTCTGAGCCTTCGTTTCCCTGTCTGTAAACCAGGGGTTAGGCCGGCTGCGGTGGCGCACATCTGTCATCCCAGCAGCTCGGGAGGCTGGGGCAGGAGGATGGCGAGTTCAAAGCCAGCAACGCAGTGAGACCCTAAGCAACTCAGTGAGTCTCTAAATAAAATATATAACAGGGCTGGGGATGTGGCTCAGTGGTTGAGGGCCCCTGAGTTCAGTCCCCAGTGCATGACCTCATTCATTTCAAGCCCCTTGATAAAGGCCATGCAAGGCCCAGGTCCCTCTCTCCCCTCCATGGTCCCCCTGGGACCCAGTGAAAGGTCTGGTTCCTGCCTGGATTCTGGAGAAGGGAGGGACCATTTGTTTAGCCCTGATCATGGGCCCCTCGCCGAGCTCAACCCCAGCCCAACTACTGCCTCCCCGGACAGCTGACGCTTCTGTTTCATAATGAGAATCTGAGGTTGGGCAATGTGGACTGCCTTGCTCAGAGTCACCCAGCGAGAACGTGGCCAGGCTGGGCACTGGTCCAAGTCAGACTTGAAGCTACTGTCACACCACAGCACACCACCCGATCCCCTTGTTCCTTCCTACAGCATTCTGTACTGAGGGCCCCCAGCGTGCTGGGCTCGTGCTACGGCAGCAGACACGCTCACATGCAAGTGCAAATCCCTACACGCCACAAGCCACAGCTCCCGCGTAAACCAGGGAGCTGAGTGCAGTTTGGGGGAACGAGAGTCAGTGGGGCCGGGAGGGTTCCTGGAGCAAGTGACATCTGGGCAGAGACCTAAAAGCTGAGAAAAGAGCCCGTGACAGGGGGAAACGAAGGTGCCCAGAGCAAGGGCAGCGGGGAGGAGGAGCCGAGGACCACGGCAGGCCATCTCCGTCCACCAGTCCAGCCCCTCCTTGGAGCCACAGGCACCCTCGGAGGCCCGGCTTTATTCCACGTGGGTTAAAAAGAGAAGGAAACCAAAAAACAAAAAAGAAAAAGAAAGAAAGAAAAGCAGCCCGGCAGCCCCCGCACAGGCCTGGGATCTAGTAGAACTGCCGGCTCCTCTCTGCGATCACATCTGACTCACAAAAACCGTCCCACAGGTGAGAGAGGCCAGGAGACGGGCCTCTGGGAGGGCTCGGATGCCGGTGTGAGCCGCCGTTTCCCAGCCCACCCAGACCACGACCCGGAGACCGAAAGCCAGGACGCGGACAGCCCAGGGCCACCGTCACGGTTCCCGGCCACACACGTCACAAGAGCTTCTGCAATCCCTGCCAGGAGCGCGGCTCCCCGAAAGGTCACCCGCTCCCCTCCCTCCGCCCCCGCAGCAGCTGTTTCTGGGCGGCGCACACCTGTGAATCTGTCTAATGGACCATCCATCACTGTGGAGCACACTCATCCGGGAGAGGCAGGCTGGGGGGACAGACAGATGACTAGACACCCAGCGGGGAGATGTCAAGGGGGTGGTGCGGGAAGGGAGGCAGCGATGGACAGAGATGGACAGAGAGAGACTCGGGAGAGAGGCGGACAGTGGACCGGCCACTGGAGATGGCTCCGCCCACCCAGTGGAAGAACTGACAGAGGTTCCGGGTGGGGGCAGGGGCCAGCACCTCCTGCTTAGATGCCAGGCTTGGTGGCCCCAGGCTGCCCCACCCCTGGTCACTTCTGCAGGGTAGATATGAGCCTGGGCAGAGGCCTCTCAGCTGGCCAGGAGCCCCTGCAGCCCAGCGCAGCCCCTTGATGATAACGGCCACTGCGATCCGTGCAGCTTCCCGCAGGCCAGGTGGCATCCACTTGTCTAAACTGAACCACCTTATACTGCCCCCATTTTACAGGCAGGAAACCTGAGGCTCAAGGAGGAGAAGTGACCGCCAGGGTCACGGCCAGGCAGTGGTGGAGTCAGATCTTGAAGCTTCCTCTCCCTTAGCCCCGCCCCACCCCACAGCCCAGGGGCCTTCACCTGCCCACTTCCCTGACAGGCTCCAGCTCAGCCCGGACACTTCACTCCCAGGCCAACCAGCCTTCCATGGCTCCCCACTGCTCCACAGGGCCAGACTGCCAGTCACTGAGCCACCCTATCCTTCTCCTCCCAGAGTCGCCCTCGACCTGGGTTGGCAGTGACTTCACAGGAGGTGCAGCAGGAGGCCAGAGCAGGACTTGAGCCACTGCTGACTCAGAGCCGTGAGTGGCTCCCTGCTCCCTGCCCTTTCAGCACAGTCCTCTGTTTTTTCTTCTCCACCTTAATCATCTTCAGACCCTAGGGCCAGCCGAGGCTGCAGGGGGGCAGCCTTGCCCAGCTTGGGAAGAATTATGGCCCTGGTGTTCCAGAAGAGAGGGAAGCTGAGACACACTGTCCTGGGAGCAGCAGCTCCCGACCCATGACCCTTCTCCAACGTGACTGTCCACCACTGTCCTCAGCACCTCAGGCCCAGCTCTGCCCATGGCCACCAGGCCACAGGAGCCAGCCACTTCCTTCCCTCCCATCTGCCCAGTGGGTCTGAGGCAACCTTCCTGCCCCACAGGACTGGCTCGTCACTCGAGGAAGAGTTGTGACACTGTGACATCAGATGATGGGGAAGGAATCCAACTGCCTGACCCTCCTACCCACGGTCACAGCCACAGCCACAGAACGYACCGGGTCCGCCTGCCTCCCAGGGCTCTCCAGGCTGCACCACCTCCCACTTCCTGAGACACATGCTGACCCCTGTCCCCTCCAGCCCAGTCCCTGCAAGGAGCAGCCTCCACGGCCAGAGAACCTGAACCAACAAGCAGGAGGCGGGCCAGGGGATGCACCGTAGTGGCCCTCCTCCTCCTCCTCCTCCTCCTCCTCCTCCTCCTCCTCCTCCTCCTCCTCCTCCTCCTCCCCCCACCGTCCCTCCCTCCTCAGCCCTAGGCCACCTCTTTCTACAGGCGCCACCTCAGCGGGGACTGCTCAAAATAAACTTGGGGGCGGATTATTTCCCGCCAAGCACTGTCTGGGAGCCAAGGGAGAGGAGCAAAAATACCAGCGGCCGGGGCAGGCCCTGCATGGAGCAGCCGAACAATGGCTGCCACTCCGAGTGGCTTTAAAAAGAACGTTTTAAAAATGCTTCCTCCTCCTCGCTTTTTCCTTAGCTAATTAACTTTCTGAGGCTCCAGACAGCGGGTGGTGCGCTCACCCAGGGCTGCGGTGCAGGGCTCCCTGCAAGACTCCCGGCCTGTGGGGCTCAAGCACCTCCGTGCACCAGCTTCGCAATGTAGTTACCCACGTTACGGGGCCCATGCGCCACCAAGATGGAGGCTCCAGCTGTGGGGTCTGTGGGGTGCTGTGGCTCACCCAGGGCCACCCTGCAGAGCCAGGGTTGGAACCCAAGCCCTGCCTAAGGGACTTAGCCTTTCTGAGCACTGCCTTCCAAGTGTGGGGGGGGGCAGGACCCCAACTTGGAGGGCAGCTGTGAGGACTCAGGGACACCAGGCTGGCTCAGAGGTTGGCACTTAGCAGAGGCTGAGTAGCTGGCCTCCCTTTGATGGAGAGGATATGCAGCCAGGGCGCCTGCTTCCCGCGTGGACCCTACACCTGAGCACAGCCTCCCCCACCTGCTGACCTGGGCAGACGGATGACGGTGGGCTTCAGACGCCTGTTGTCCTGAGGAACAAGGCAGCGCCCGCCTCGGGCTAAGAACCTTGCTCAGCAGGATGTGGCAGAAGGAGCAGGGGCGGGGTGGGGGAGGTCAGACAAGAAGACCCTGAGGAGACTGGTCAGGGACCCTGACTGAGCCCAAGGCTGAGGCTTGGGGGCAGAGGGAGCCGTGGGGTCACCTAGGAGGGCACAGGCACACCAAGCCACCTCCAACCACAGCCCTGCCTTGTGTGATCTGCCTGTTCCCGGGGTGTCAGCGCTTCCTCCCTGGCCGGTCCCAAGGATGAACTGTTCGCCAAATTCCGAGGATGAACTCGTGGGCCTCTCCGGCCGACTCCAGCGGGCCACTGGCCGGGAGGTGGCCCAGGGACGGTGCAGAGAGGTGCAGACACTCGGCCTCACCCTCGTGGGCAGCTGCCCCGGTGGGGCCTTTCCCAGGAGCACGGCCCCCCACCCGACCTCTGGGCCAGGGAGGCCGGGCTGACAGGGGAGGCGCTGCCTGTCACTCCAGCTGCGGCCCTCCCTGGAGACCTTCTTAATTAAGCTGCAGAGACTGGCAACCGGCAGCTCAAGGCAGCTCGGCCACAGCCCCCGGGGCCTCATTTAAGTAAATTGAATGGAGCCTGTGCTCAGGGAGCTGGTGACGGGGTGCAGCCACCGAGCGGGGGACAGGTCTTACAGAAGGAAGGCCATGAGGAGGCCAAGGGGGCTCCATGAGGAGGTGGCCTCAGACTGGGCCTCTGGCTGGCTGGGGACCTCAGGTCAGTGACTCCCCTTCCTGGGCCTCAGCATTCTCAGCTGCCAAGGGGGGGTGCCCTCTTGTTTGGGGACAGGCTAAGGGACCTGTCCCCCAGAGGTCAGCCAGACAGCAAGAGCCAAAAGTTGGTATTTTTCCAAATGGAGCCAGGACTTGTCCGGGCTGTCACCCCAGAGTTGGCCTGTGGACAGGGGCATGGGTGCAGAGTACAGTCCTGTCCTTTGAAGTGTCACTGGGGCAGCAGACACCAGCGTCCCCCTCCCTTGGGGGTGAACCAAAGCCAGCTCCAGCTAGGAGCAGGAGACGGGCACAGACGGGGCGGCCCCCTGGGCCCCTGCTGGGCACCTTCTGCCCTCCCCACCTGCCGCCCACACCCGGCACCCACACTGGCCTGCTCATGGTGCTCGATGCCCATGCTGACGGTGTTGACCAGGATGGCCATCATGATGCCCCGGTTGAAGTACTTGCTGTCCACGATGCCCCGCAGCTTGGCCCGCGTCTCCCGCCACACRTCCCCACACAGCCGGACTGCCCCCACCTGCTCCTCCTCGTCCTCTTTGCCTAGGCCCGAGGAGCCCCCGTCCTCGMTGCTCTGGGGCCCGTCCCCATCAGCTTCAGCCTCGCCGCCACTGGAGCCACTGGAGCCCGAGCCCTCCTGGCCCGAGTCGGTGCTGCCGGGACCCGAGGACCGCCGGCCCGCCCCGTGCTGGCAGTGCGGGCAGCTGGTGGGGTCGGAGGCCAGCATGGCAGAGATGGGCTGCACCAGCGTGTGGGGCGTGGGGTCCAGGGCGCTGTGTCTCGGGCACAGCTCTGCAAAGCAAACGAGGCAGTGTCGGTGCCCACCCCAGGCCTGGCCACCAGGGCACAGGGTCCGCCTGGAGCAAGCCTGTCCCACCTGGGGGTGACGGTTCCCCTCTCTGGGCTCTGTCTGGAGCCAGGTGGAAGCAGAGACTGGCAGGCCATGGGCATCCCTGCACGGACACACGATGGGCCTGGGGCAGGTGTCCCTGCTATTGGTCACTTCTGCCCTTGGTGCTGGGCCAGTCACTTAACAGACCCTCCCAGGTCCTGGTCACAGCCAGGGGGACTGGGTGTGACTATGAAAGAGTCTGTGTGGAGAGGGGACAACCTAGGTGGCCGAGGTGTTCCTCAGCTCTCCGCCTGTGTCTCCCGGGGAGGGAGAAGACGGAGCCTGGGGCCGGGCAGGCTCACTCTGCAAGCCCCCGGACACCCCGACACCCTGGCCCAGGAGAGTCAGGGCTGGGTGGGGACAGGCAGGAAGGGCCGCAGGGGCCACGGCTCACAGGCCCTTCATGCCCCAGGAGAACCTGAGCAGCGGCAGAGAGGCCTCCCTCTGGCTGGTTTTTCTCTATTTTTCTAGAATAATCATGTTTTGCTCTTGTAAGAAAAAAAGGCAACAATGAAGGGAAGGCGAAGCCTGTGACACGTGACAGCTGCCCTTCGTCTCGCACTTGCCTCCAAGTGCTTCCCAGCCCTGGACAGAGCCCGGGGTCAGCTCCCTGGCTCTGGAGCCGGGGGCCCAGCACCACCCACCCCAGCTCCACAGGGCAGGCCAAAGCCCTTCCCAGCCCCGGACACCTGGGGGGAGGTCTGCAGGCCCAGGCACAGCCGCAGGCCCAGGCACAGCCGCAGCCCCTCTAGAAGGACCCCCCCGCCCCAAGCTCAGGGGGAGGGCGGCAGCCGCAGGAAGGCCTGGGGGTAAACGCCCTCCCCGTGTCCTCCAGCAGGCGGGTGCCAGCCCTGCCCAGACCCCAGCTCCCCTGTCTGCAGGCCGGGCCAGCCCACGGACGGCTGGCATCCTGGGGGCGGGGGGCATAGCTCCGAGGGAGCATTGTCCTGCCCGCCTCCGGCCTCCCAGGGCGGGGCCTGGGTGCTGACCTCGTGGCCACCAGGAGCCGAGGCCGGCTAACCCCACCCCACCCCATGGTCGGGGTCACACAGGGAACAGCACATGGCACACTCCTCCCCCGCTGCTCCGGTGACAGTTCCGGGGCCTGCCAACTGCTCAGCACCCAGCTGGGAGGAAAGGGGACAGAGCTGGGCCCTCCCCTCCCTGCCGGCCTCCGCCTGGGACTGGGGTGTTCACAGCTGGAGGTGGACACTTAGCAAGGCCCCGGGTAACCAACACTCCATGTGACTGGGTGACACCCAGGGCCACTGAAGTGACTCCCTCATCTCCTTGGACTTTATTTTTCCCATCTGAAAACCAGGGTACTATTTCCCAGTCTGCCGCCTTCTGGGGACCGTGTCCGCTCTCAGGGTTCAGGTGAGGGGCCCCTTTCCCACATACTACCCGGCAGCCCTTGGCAGGAGACATGGCCCCAGCAGGGGCAGAACAGGGTGGCCCATGTCCCTGCCTTGCCAGACCTGGGTGCCAGGTGCCAGAACTCACAGCTCAGCCACAATGGTAGCTGGGGACAGCTACAGGAGGCTGGTGGGTGGGGACCTACAAGACTGAGGCCAGATCACGTTCCCCTTGGCCCAGCGCGGCTCCCGGGGCAGGGCCCAGGTCTGTGCGCAGGGGAGTCCCCCAGGGCTGGGCTGAGCCCCTGGGTGAGCGAGGGAGGCCCGGGCAGGTGCGCCTGGAGCTCCTGGCCRCAGGGGAAATAAATGCTTGACCCTGAAATGAAGACCCGGCCGGAGCCTGGGGACACCTCTCTCGGGCTGGGGAGGTGGGACCCATCAGCAGCAGCGAGTCCCCAGGTGGCGGCACACCCACCGCCGCGTGTCAGGGCCACTTACTGCAGTGCCTGGGGTCCTTGGCGTGGGGCCCGGGCCTGGCAGGGGCAGGTGCCCCTGGGCCCAGGGCCTGGCGCCGGCTCTGCAGGGCCTGGTAGAGGCCCAGGGTGCGACGCTTGGCCTTGCGCAGGATGTGGCAGACGTACTGGAAGATCTCCTCGTAGCAGTCGCCGGGCTCGGCGTAGCTGGCCACCGTGCTGGAGGACAGGTAGCGCTGCCGCTGCTCCAGCATCAGCCGGTGCTCCCGCTGCTTGGTCTCCGAGAACTGGGTCGCTATGACAACGAGGCACAGGTTGATCATGAAGAAGGAGCCCACCTGTGACCAACGGGAGGAGAGGACAGGGACGGGGACAGAGGGGACGGTGGGGGAGGGGAGGCGGAGGTGGAGAAGGGGCCAGCAGGAGGACACAGGGAGAGAGACAGAGAGAGGGAGAAGAGAGTCAGGGAGACCCCGAGACAGAGATGGAGACGGGGAGACAGGAGCCAGAGTGGAGAGAGGAGGAGGACGGGGACAGACCGGAGACACCCACAGAGGGGGGAGGACGGCAGGGGGCCAGCAGAGAGCAAGGACAAGGGGGACACAGGAGAGAGTGACACAGGCTCAGGAGGATTGGGGCATGGGTGACACCGGGTTGGGGGAAGAGACAGGGACAGAGAGGAGCAGGGGAGGGTGGAGGGTCCCAGAGAGACAGAGGCACAGACACAGATGGGGACAGGAAAAGAYGCTGAGGCCTTGCTCCAGGCGAAGGCGTGGCCCAGGCTGCTCTCCAGGCCCCACGGGCCCACTCCAAGCCAGGCCATGCTCAGGCCCGAGGCCCCGGCCACCCCCCACGCTGGCATTGAGGCCAGGGAGGGAGGCTGTGGCCCATCTTGGACCACTTGGGCCCTGAGTCCTACCCTCCAGCCGGGACTTTGGCTTTCTTTGTGCCTGAAGGGACAGTTGGGGAGAGGCTGCCGGCTAGCACTAAGGCCCCGCCCCTCAGGGGCCATCCTGGGCACAAGCAGTGTCCCGTGCTTTTGGGGGTGCAGCCCCCCCCGACATTGCAAACTTCTGAATGAGCCCAGCTGCCACTGGCCAGAAGGGCCAGAGCCTGGCCTGTGCCTCCTCCACTTCAGCATGACGGGGACTGTCTGGGGCGAGGAGCCCTCTCCAGCTGCGCGGCCCAGGCCAGGGATTCAGAATCGAAGCTCATGCCCCTGCGTGGCCAGGCACGAGGGTGAACGTCGGTGTGTCTGTCCAGCTCTGCCCTCTGCACCCTCCACGTGCCTCAAAACACTCGGCCCCCACCAGCTTGCTCGACCCTGGGACGGGACCACCTGGGGCCCCTCCACAGCAGCAGCAAGAGCAGCAGGGCACACTTATTGAGCACCTGCTGTGTGCGGGGTTTGCAGGTTTGGGGCTCTGCCTTCCCAGACCCAGGAGCTAAGTGCTGTCACATGCCGACTTCATAAAGTGGCTCGAGGGCCACCCTGGCTCCCCCGGAGGAGCAGAGGGCAGCTTCTCCAGCCCCTCGGGAACTCCGGCTCCTCTACCGCCCGAGCTCCATGGCGCTCCTCCCGCAAGGCTCCCATCCAGAGGCTCTCCCCTGCCCGACACCCCAGGCCTTTAAGGCTCAATCCTGGCACCTCCTTCAGGGACCCTCCCACGTCCCCAGCCTCCCCTGGGTGGGGGTGGGCCCCGGGGCTTCCCTCCACCACGGCACCCAAGAGATAGGCCAGGAGACTCCCCCCAGACTGGGCTCCGGCCTGGTGGGGGTGGGCCTTCCTGATTGTTCTGGTGAGTGGACAGCAGCGCTGACCAGGCCGGGCCCCTTTCTCTTGTGTGGCTGGTCTCCTGGGTCCAAGGCCCCGGCCTCCCCAGCATAGCACTGCAGCTAAGCCAGGAGCAGGTGCCTCTTGGGTCACTTGCCAGCGCCCTGACCCCCAGCTCAGGATGGGGGTGCCCCAGCGGGCCAAGCATGCCCCCTCCCACCACCAAGAGGCCAGAGGACCGGCCCCACAGTGGCGGGGAGTGAGCAGCACCTCCCGGGAGTGAAATCACCTTGACATTTTGGGGACTGTGCCGTGGTTGAAGCTGTAGTCAGGCATGACAGGTGGACGAGCCTGCTCTGGGGACACTGTGGGGACAGGCAGAAGGGCCAGCCTACGAGGGCCGACAGAGCCTCGTCTCCTGGTCAGCCCAGGGGGCAGGGCTGCCTGAGAGGCGGAGGGCCCTCCCCAGCAGGCCACCAGGATCATGYGCCTCTTTCCAAACCTGGCTCTGCTAGTGGCCCCACACTTTGGTTTYGGAGATTGTGTCTTCCTGTCCCAGGAAAACAGGGACAAGCCAGGGCCCTTGAAAAGCACCATCCTGGGGCCACACCTACAGCTAAGGTCATGAGAAGGATGTGTTCCCAGAGACACATGGCGGAGAAGCCAAGCAGGAGCCACGGTGGGTCCAACGCCCAGGAGTGAGAAACAAAGGCCCTCAGAAGTGACAGATGCTTCCAGCAGCCGCCCCTGACCGCCTGTCAATCACCCCAGTCAGCCGCGTTTAAAAATAGCCCCTCCTGCTGCCTCCCCCTCCTCCGGTCCCCTTCCCCTGGTCTGAGCGTCCTGAGCCAGCCCAGCAGCCCCGGCTCCCRACACTTACTATGATCAGCAGGATRAAGTAGATGAAGTTGTAGAAGGAGTGGGCGTCCATCACGTAGTACATGATCTCCACCCAGCCTTCCAGGGTGATCACCTGCAGCCGGCACCGAGGGCGAGAGGGGAGAGCCTCATGTGCACCAGGACGCRCACACGCCGCCCTCGTAGGGCAGCCTCTCCATCCATGCGATACAGACCAGGAAACGGTGGTTCAGAGAGGTGAGGACACTTGCCCAACGTCAAACAGCTAGGCAGTACTAGAGCCGGGACTTCAATCCTGGTCCYGCTCACTCTAGACCTCACCCGTTTTCTGGCTGCCGTGCCAGGGCAGGCGGGCTGGGAAGCAGGAGCCCAGGGGTCCCAGCTCTACCTCGTCACTGGGCTATGGCCCACCCGGGGCCTCAGCTGCTTCCTCGTACCCGGGGATGGCAGAGGCCCTCGGGCACGGCTCGGGTGAGGCTCACTGGAGCCCAGTGTGTGCACTGGACGAGGCTGGTGGGACTGTCTCCCCTGCCCCACCCGACGTCTTCCCAGAGAGGGAGAGGGGCAGCTCTGGGGTGTGACTGTCCCTGGCAAAGCCCAGACACGGCCCCAAAACACGGCCCGCAAGCTCTGAATTCCCGGCCCCCTGCTCCTGCTCCTCATGGCTACAGGCTTCCCTGCTCTGCCCGCGCCGGCCACATCCCGCCTGAGGACAGCGGGAGCTGAGTCTTGACTGAGCACCCACCGAGCGTGGGCTCCTCCTGCCCGTCACCTGGCCTGTTCCCAGTACCCAGCATGAGGGGCCTGGGGTCAGACCATTATCAAGACAAGGAACCGAGGCACAGAGAGGTTGAGCAGCTCTCCAAGGTCCTTCAGCCCCATTCCACAAACAAACCCCGCAACACCCTCTGCAGAGGACAGGCACGGGGTCASTCGGGGCCAACCGTGCCACCCAGGCAGGCTACCGCGGCTTTGGGAGGGCAGGTGTGTGCACTGGGTCACAAGATGGGACATGGCTTYCACTGACACGGGACAAGCTGATCTCTGCTGTCACCCCACCAGGAATGTCCTTCCTCCCACGCACCCCAGGGGACACTGCGCGCCTTGGCCAGTCCTCCAAGGACTGCACGTGCGTCCTGCCTGTCCTCTGTGGGGACCTCCCAGCCGGCACCTCTGCCTCCGGCACCTGGGACTGCACAGGGCACAGACTCTGCAGGCGGCCGGGCCAGTCCCCATCTGGCCATTTGTCAGTCTGTCTGCCTGTGAGACGGGCACAATGGCACCTGTGGTGCCCGCAGGCCGGGCAGGTTCCAGGGAGACCGGGCGGCAGACACCTGCTGGGTGGAGCGGCTCCGGTGGCCGCGGGCCTGAGGACCTCACCTGGAAGATGACGATCCAGGCGTAACCGATGTTGTCGAAGTTGATGGCGCCCTTGTGGGGGTTGGCGCTGCCCGTGCGGCACACGTTGTAGTAGCGGTTCCAGTTGACGCACAGCCCGCTGGCGTTGAGGTCCGGGCGCCCGGCCCCGAAGTCGGAGACGTCGTCCTTGGACAGGCAGCACTCGCGGCCCTGCTCCTTGAGCGGGGGGATCTCGTGGCAGCCCATGATGCCATTGTCCCCCGACAGGGAGCAGATGAAGGGCATCTCGTCGTCTTCCTCTGGCTGGTAGTAGGGGGGCAGGGCCACGTCCCCTTGTCTGTCCACAGTGAGGGCGGGTCAAAGGAGGGAGGGGAGGGGTCACTGCCCGGAGGACAGGAAAGGGAAGGCCACACCGGGGCAGGCTGGCCCTCAGTCCCACTGTAATCCCCTGAGAGCGTCCCCTCCCCTGGGGAACTGTCCCCGACTCCCTGCCACCTCACCGTGCCTAGCATAGACCTCCATTAGGGCTGCTGGGGCAGCTGAGCCCAGCTCTCCAGGGAGGCCTCCAGGCCCTGGGCCCCTAGGCTGTTGGGTCGGCACATAGTAGGTGCTCAATAAGCGCACGCTGAATTCACCAGCCCAGCAGACAAGGGTAGTTCACCTCTGTGCCCCTGCACCAGCCCCTCCTCTGCTCTGGATTCGGGGACCAGAATTGACACAGAGCCCATGGGGCTAAGGCCTAGTCCCCCCAAGCCCATGGGGTCCTGGCCTGCTCTTCTCCGTGGACCTGCCAGCAGCCCGGGGTCACCCAGTGGGAGCACACCAAGGCGGGGTTGGCAGGACAATGGAGGGAAACCGTCCTAAGACGGCAATGAACTCCACCTGCACACTGTGAGTCCTGACGGGACCAGAGGCCGCAGCGCCAAGAAGAACCACCTCGAGATCACCCGCACCCACCGCACGGCCCGTCAGGACCGAGGATGCTGCAAGTGTGAGCACACACGCGTGTGCACTGTCAGTGGTGTGCAGACCACACGACCCTGGCGGGGCCATTTGGCAACAGTCAACAGATGACACCCCACCCACTGCATCCTGTCACCGACTCTAAGAAGGCATCGCTGGGGACAGCTGGACCTTTCAGTGATCGGTCCTAGGACAACCAAAGGCCCATTAAGTGCACCAGCACATCTTGATGTCCCCCCAGCCACCCAGCGGACACAAAGCCACTGGAGACGGAAGATTTAAAGGGGCAGCTTCTAAAAGCAGCCAGGGAGAATGGGCTTCGGGACCTTGGGCTAGGACACAGGGCAAGGCTAAAGAATGCCGGAGAACTGGATGTCACTCTTGAACAAAGAGACGCTGCCCATCRAGAGACAGGGCCAGAGAGTGGGAAAGCAGTGCCTTCACCCTCGTTTCTGGGAGTGAATCCACTGAGTGACTGTGCGGCTACTAATTTATGCAACTATGCATTTGGGTCGCTCCTGGGTTTGGGGCTCTTGTGCCTTATAAATATTCCTGCCCACGTCCTCGGTGGATCTAAGCCGCCCTTTCTTTTGAGCAAATGCTCAGGGGCGGAGTTGCCGGCTGAGGCTGCACCGGGCTCTGCCCTTCCGCAGAGCTGCACAGAGTCTCCACCAGCAGAGTGTGGGCGTCCAGGGCGCCAACGGCCGGTRGCACTGGGCACCGCCAGCCCTGAGCTTAGCCGTCTAGCGGGGGGTCACGGGATCTGTGGTTTGAGTATGCGTTGCCCCTGAAGGACAGCAGTGAACGCCCTTCCACATCCATCGGCCGCGTGCCTGCCCCTTGTGAAGTTTCTGCTGAGCTCTCGGGGCCATTTTTAGATCTGATCATTGGCGCCTGTCGTGACTCCWCAGATTCTGCAGAGTTGAGCCCCTGGTGGACACATGGACTGCAGATATTTTACTCCAGCCTGGGCTCTCCTTTTGAGCATTAGTCACTCTTGAAAACCTGTCAGCAGAGGTTCTGAGAGTCACGGCCACCATGGATCCACCCAGAAGGTGGAGGCCCTGGGTCTGAGTGCAGGGTGGGGAGGGCTCASTAGAACTGGACACAGGGCCCGCCTGGCGGGTCCCTGCCCTCCCTGGCCCCCGACTCTCACCTGAGGCATCCCCTCGGAGCTCTCTGCCAGCACCACTGCCTCAGCCCAGGGAAGCTGAGGCAGCTGCACCTGTGTCCAGACCCCAGCTCAGATGACCAGCCTCTCACACAGCACCAGGCAGCCCAGGCCTGTCCCCGTGGCCACCATCCAGACCTCCTTCTCCCACTGCAGCTCAGCCATGCCTCCCACCCCTCCTCTGAGGTTACCCACAGCCTCTGCTGGCTGACTCCAACTTATATGCTGTGTGCCCTCGGGCAAGTGACCTCACCTCTCTGAGCCAAGTGTGAAATGAAGATGATAACATASTTCCCTCACAGCACCCTGCTGAGAGTAGTGCCCAGCATGTACTGAGGCCCCTGTAAATACCAGATGTCTCAACCTGCGTCACCCCAGGGTCACCCTCTGGGCCCCTGGGATTCCAGGTGCCATCTCAGCGCCTGCCCTACGAGTGACAACGCCCACCCCCAGGAACTTCCAGGCCAGTGGGGGACACAAGGACACCCCCAGCTGCCCGGGCCACACTCAGCTGCCCACGGTGCTGCCCGGTGCCCTGTGGCTGGGTCACCCTCACAGCACCCCACGGTGGGGAAACTGAGGCACGGAAGTTTGGCCACTTGCTCCCAGAGTCACAAGGCYAGCAAGTGGCCTTGGCAGAATTTGACCCCAAAGGCCAGGCGTCATGCGCCTCGCCCCACACCACCCCAGCCCCCCACCTGCCAGGAGACACCTCCGTCTTTCCAAGAGCCCCTCGGCCTCCCGTCCTCAGACTGGAGAGGCCTGCCCTGCGCTGGCCTCGGACCCGGCTCCCTCTGCCACAGCCCAGAGCCCACTGCTGGCCGCGCACTCGCCCAGAACGGAGGCCGGGTGAAGTCCTCCACAGCCCGAGGCCCCGCACAGGGCCTGGCCGCTGGAAGGGGCTGATGGTGGGCCACGTCCGGACACCCACACAGGGGCCAGTGCTTGGAGGGAGCCTTGCTGTGTGGCCCTGGCCACGTCCCTTCCCTCTCCAGGCCTCATGTCACCTGCACGTTGGGAACTGGACGGAGGCTCCCAGAGGCCAAGCAGATGATGAGCGCCCGGCCCCAGGTCCCCCATGTCCCCATGTCCCCYCCCCCCCCCCCCCGTCACGGCAGCCAGCTCCGGGCTGGGGCCACCCGACAGGGTCAGGCCTGACCACGGGGAGGGGACGTGCAGGGACCAGGCGGGAAGACGCATGGCAGGAGGAGCCGCTGTCCTGGTCCCCGCCGTCCTGCCGGGCTGGAGGCACATTGAGCCGTCAGCTGGGGGCACCCCCAAGCCGCCCCAGGCCCCAGGAGGAGAGGAACCAGCAGAAGCCCCTGGTCTCCTAGAGAGCGTCCTCCAGGCCTCCCCTGCCCAGACCAAGAAAGGGAGCCAGCCCAGGAGGAGGCCCCACGCGGCGGAGCCTGGATAAGGGGATGAYCAGGGACGGTCCACGTGGGGCAGAGGGACAGAGGAGCGGGGCTTCACCCTGAACCCCCAAAGCCGAAGCTCCTGCCCGCCACTCTCTGTCCTTGAAGGCCAGGCCAGGAGAAGCGGCTGCCACCCCGTCCCCTCCCCGACAGCCCCAGCCACAGCTCAGGTGGACATTCATGCAACCCCCAGCCCCACGCAGGACCCCTCCCCACGAGGCGGCCCTGCCCTGCCTACCCAGGGGGCCCAGCGCTCCCTGCAGCGACACTGGCCTCCAGATCCACGGGACAGGGACAGAGAGAAGAAGCTCAGCCACCCCCACGCTGGGTCCCCACACCCCCAACAGGCCCTTGGCCCGGGAGCGTCACTCAGSAGAGACGTTCAGGATCCGCGCCCAGCCTGGTGCTCCCCAGGGCAGGACCCATCTCAGCAGGACAAAGAGCCACCGCTGGGCCGYGTCCAGGGAGAGAAGGGAGAAGAAGGCTCTCCTGTTCTGGGCTCCCGCGTCTAGCGCACAGTAGGAGCGACACAATTGGTTTTTCTGACTGACTGGCTGCAGCCTGGGAGCTGGTTCTGGGGCCCCACCCTGATGGCGCTGCTTCTGCGCCGTCCTGCCCTCCCTCCTCCTGCCTGGGGACCTGTGGCGCCCGCGGGCGAGGCCCCACTCACATGGTGAAGTTCTCCTCCAGGAAGCAGCGGTTGCGCAGCAGCCCCGCCCACAGCTGCACCCCGATGATGCCGAAGATGAAGAAGACGAAGAAGCAGAGCAGGAGGACGTTCCCCAGCATGGGCAGCGTGTCCAGCAGCAGGTTCACCAGGATCCGCATGCCTGGAAGGAAGGGCAGGCGGGGGGCGTCGGCGGGAGCCGAGGTCCAGGGAGGACAGGAGCAGGGGACGGGGACACACTGCCCAGGCGTCCAGGGCACCCGGCCTGCACGTGTGCCCCTCTACCCAGAAAGCCAGGAGAACGGCTCCGGGCCCTGCCGCACTCACGCGAGATGTGGACACACTGTGCGCACCCCCCAGGGCTGGCCCAAGCGGGATCTCCAGTCTCCGTGACCCTGAGAGGTTGAGGATCCCGCCTCTTCACGCGGGAAGCCAAGGCGAGGGTCAGAGACCWGGAGTCACTTGCCTGGGCCACTCAGCTAACAGCAGGGTCTGATGGACACCAGGTCCTGCCCTCCTTCCAGAACCCACTGTCTCACCCACGCTCTGTCCTCTTCCTGGGACACCCCGGCAGACTCCCATTCAACCACCACAGCCCGAAAAATGCCCTTTCTGGCCGCTTCCCCGGCCCTTCCTCACCCCCTCCCAGGTAGAGCTCATCCCTCTCTCTTCTGCTCTAGGCAACCTCAGCACCTGTCACCTCGCCCCGGCTGCCATGCACATCTGTGCAGGTTGCACGCTGCACAAGCGGGGCCTCTCCATGGGCACCCACACCCGCGCGGCCTGGCATAGCTTCCTTTTCACCATCCTGTCTCATCTGCTGAGCTGTGAGCTCCTAAGGGACAGAGCCTGTGTCTGAGCCACCTCAGTGTTCCTAGAGCCAGCAGGTCCTGGCCCGGGAGACGGTCTCAGCTAACATTTGCTGAATGCTGTTGAATCGCAGAGGCCGAGCAGCATCGCGGGAAGAGTGTGGAGGGCTGGGAGACCGCGGTGGGGGCAGCGGCCCTGCCGGGGTCTGTTATTCCAGGGCTGGTGCGAGGTGGTTATTAACAAGGATAATTATCTGGGATTTGCATCACAAACTGTGTGTGGAGCGATTTCTAATCAATAACTAGTGCCCACCCCCAGCTCGCCTCCCCGCCAAACTAGGTCAGCCTCCTCAGGAAAGGCAGGGGCTCCCCAGCAGGCGGCCTCACCCACCGAGGGCACCAGGGGGTCCCCAGGCCCCACCTCCCTGTGGCCCCCGAACCACAGCAAGAAAACAGGCCCCGCGGGACCCCGCAGATGGCCGGCTGCCCTGGAGAAGCCAATGGCCGGCCCTCTGGTGCCTCACTGGCTCACTCGTGCCCACGGTCACTCACCAAGCACCTAGTTAGTGCCAGCTGAGAGCCAGGCACAGGGCTGGGCCCAGGGAGCCCACAGCTGAACACAAAGCCCATCTTGAACCCGCCTCAGCCATCCAGCCTGGCAGCAGGGGACGGGGACCCCAGTGCTGGGCAAGGAGACCCGAGGACACATGCGTGCAGAGGCTGGGCACTGGAGGAGCCTGCCACGCCGAGGGACGGGTGGCCAAGGCCCGGCCGTGTGGCCCTGAGGACCAAGCAGGAGACCGCTGGGGCCACGGCAGAGGGCTCTGAGGAGGCGGGACCCGCGGGTGACGGGCAGGAGGCCATGTCCGTCATGGCTGTCCCCAGAGGCCCAGCCCTTGGTCGGCTCTGGGCGAGGCCAGGGCAGTGCTGGAGGCCTGGCAGAGGCTGGACCAGCGACACGGGGAGCCGCAGCTCAGCGCAGCCCCCTTGGCTGCCCCTGGGTTGGCCTTGGTTGCTCAATTAGTCGCAGCTCCTGTCGCCCAGGACGCGGACTTCTGAAAGGCTCCGAACACGCGCCCAGGGTCCCGGGCCACAGGGCAGAGGCACAGTGAGCTGATCAGGGCCCCGGCAGGAGCTGGGAGAGGGGGCCGGGGAAGAGCCCGAGGGACGCAGGGTCTCGCTCTCTATGTCCTGGGTCAAGCAATTAGGCAGGATGGGCCAGCCGGCGCCACTCTGCCCTCGCTCCCCTGGCCCTGGGCACACGAGGCAGCGCAGGCAGGAGAGAGGGGAGAGGGGAACAGAGAAGGGAGAGAGAGAGACAGTGGACCCAGAGGGACGGGAAAATGGGCACAAAGAACAGAGGGGGACAGCACAGGGAGAGGCAGGACAGGACCAGAGCCCACAGACGGGGAGAGCACGGATCCACAGGGACACGGCACCCAGCACAGGCAAACCACCGGGATGTCACCCTCGGGCTGTCCTTCCTAACTCCCTCCACCTTCCCAGCCAAACCCTCCTCCTCCAGGCAGTCTTCCAGGTGCCCACCCCGGGCTGGTCAGGAAGGCCTCCAGTCCCCTCTAGTCCTGTCTCCCTCTCAGCAGGGGCTTAGCAGGGATCAGGCGATCTGGAAGGGCCAGGCTGCAGGCCACCAGGAGAGCCACCAGGAGAGCATGGGGAGGGCCTGGTCCCAGCCAAGAAGGCAGGGGGGCCTGGGCACTGGTGCAGCCCTGTCCAGCTGGGCACCCAGGCACAGACCTAGAACACGAGTTCTGAGTCCCAGTCCAGACCTGGTGGCCCCAAGACCAGAACTGGCCCTCTCTGGGCCCAAAAGGCTTCATCGACAGATGGGGACAGTGGCATGTACGATCCAGCCGGCCTCTCGGGAGCACTGCCCAGCTGGGGCACCTCTGATGGAAGAGCCCCTAAAGCCAGCAGGTCACCCCGGGAAAGTTCAAAGCCTTATCCCACCAGCCCCGCCCTGCTCACGGCCCGTCCCACAGCCTCACAGCCACTGTGGTTCCGGCTGGACACCAGCCCCCGCCCTCCCCTGGGCCACCAGCCACTCTACCCACAAGACCTTGCTCTACTCTGCCCACAGCAGGGGTCCTGTGGCTGCCATGCCACTGCCCACGCAGGGGTTAGTCCGGGCTGGGGTGGCCCTCTGGGAAGCCCAGCCTCGGGGCCACCTCCAGGCYCAGCACATGCAGAGTCGGGGGCACCTGGCATCGCTTCATTAGACCTCAGGGCCTGGGGGGGAATTGGCCCAAGTCTGGGGTGGGGCCAGTGGACTGTCCTCTACATCGTGGGAGCTGGGGCAGATGACAGCAGCAGATGCATGAGATGCGCCCCTCTCCACCCGGGGAAGGACCCAGACCAGACCTCTGCTCCGGGGACCCCGGCCAGCAGGGCAGCCCCTCAGGTAATGGGCGGGGGTGGCAGGTGACAGGTGCCTTCCTGACAGCATCTCCCCTCCAGGTCCCGGGTGCTCTCCACAGACAGGAGCCGTCAGCCCAGATCAGCACGGCCCCTCTGCCAGGCCCGCTCACGGAGAACTCACTGGGCATGTGCCAACCAGGGGCACAGCCTGTGGCCGGGGAGGGGACACAGAGGAGGGGACGCCTGTGCCGTGGCCTCCAGGCCTGGTCTGGCCGGGTCAGTGGAGGGCGCTGAGCAGGCAGGAGAGGCCGTCTGCCGCGCCTGCCACTGCCAAGGCCAACTAATCAGGGGCACAGCGGGCGCCGGGGAGGCCGGGCCAGGCAGCAGACGGCCAGGCTGCCGAGGTCACAGCTGCTGGCCCTGGCCCAGCTGGAGAGAGCCCGTGGGCTGGCGGGGGGCCTCTGAACCCACCCAGCCAGGGAACCCCCATCTGTCCACCCAGGAGGCCTCAGGTCCCCAGAGCTGGAGGAGCTGGCACCTGGGGGTCGGGCCCACCGGTCCCACTGAAGGTCCCTGTCCGCTGCAGCCCAGCAATCCCTATTCATCCTGCCAATGTCCTGCCCACCCCTCTGGGATCCTCTCTGGGTCTGCGTTGGTGCCTCCCCCCACCCATGGCAGCTCGTCCCAGCCCCGTGGCCCCCAGGTCAGGTGCCGCCTGCAGGGAGGGGCTGTGGCTGAGGCTCTTTCTGACCCCACACTTGGCCCAGGGCCACACCTGGTGGCCCCCTTGGATCAACCAGAGGTCCTGGCGTCCCCTCCAGGTGTCCTGCCCTCAGGATTTGTGGAAACCACTCAGAACCTGAGCCAGGGCGGCTCCCTTTGCCCCGCCCACACTAAGCACTTCCTGGCTGCAGCTCATTTCCTGTTCCCAAGTCAGGCTCTCGCCAGGTATCCGGCCAGATGCTCCCCGCCCTGCCCCGTCCACTCCAGGAAAGCAACAGCCCAGGAAGCCAGCCCTGGTCCCCTCCCCCTTCTCCCCAGCCTCCCTCTCTTTTCCCCGCGGAGGCCGCGGGCCTTTGGGAGCCCTGGGGTGCTGGGGCAGACGCCCTAAAGCCCAAGGTGTGGCAGGGCTTAGTGCCCAGAGCCTTCAAGTAAAGGCGCGTCTCCATAATGAGATGTGCCGCTCCTCTTCCTCCCAGATCCTGCCAAGATCAAGCTCCCCCAGAAGGAATCCTGGGCCCTCCTTGTCCCTCCCTTGGATGGCTGGCCTGATGTGACCCCTCTAGGCATGTGCCTGGGCATGAGGACAGGGGCCTCCTGCCCTAACCACTGCACTCTCCTGCCTCCTGCATGGCCCTGACTCAACCCCGAGGACCCTGCAGCGTGGGAACCCTGCACCTGGCAGGGAGAGGCTGCAGAGGTCTGCAGCAGAACWAGCTACAGGCAGATGGGAGGTCCTGGCGTCCCCTCCAGGTGTCCCTACACAGGGACAGGGGCCCTTAACTCTGTGTCTCCTGTGGCGCTTGTCAGTCAAGAGGGCACTGAGTGCCTATGACAGAAAGGTCAGGAGCCCTGGGATCTTGTAAGGGCAGGCTCAGATCCCAGCTCTGCCTGCCTTCTGCCTCGGGGTCCCCGTCCATAAACTGGGCATCACCATGTTTTGAAGGAAAAGTGATTCAGCCCCTGTTAGACACTGGGACAGGTTTGTCCCAAGCACTTATGATCGTTATCAAATTCCCAGATGTGAAAACCTCCTCCTGCCTCTCCTGACATGTGTCCCCCGCCCAGCCACACTGCTCCCAGGGGACACCTCTACTCCACCTGTGCACATGTCACCTACCAGGGGCACTCTCTGGGACCTTCTGTGCACTTGGTCAGCTTCTTCTAAAACCAGCCCTGGAAGACAATCCTGATGCCCCCACACCCCCACACCCCCAACCCTCCCCAGCGCCTTCCTCCACGTGGCCACCCAGGGCCCGGCACCAGCCAACGGTGCGGAACAGACCTGCAGCTCCCGGGCCTGAACTGCCCCGCCACACACAGCAGGGTCAGCCCCCCTCCCGGCCCCAGGCCTGGGAGTGCCTTCCACACCCTTGGAGGGGTCTGCTGCCAGAAGAGACCCCATTTAGAGATAATACAGCCCCCTCATGCCAAGGCCAGAGGAAGGTCACACAGTGAGGAAGCAGAAGCCAGTCTCCTGCCTCAAAGTTCATCCCTCCTCCCTCTCCAGCCTTCTCCTCTACGTCTCCTTCCTTTTATCCTTCAGGGCTGGCCCAGGACAGAAGCTGCAGAGGCAGACCCGGGGGACTGGCTTTACACGACTGATTCGGTAAAGAGCACCCTGACTTCCAGCTCCCCGCTCCTCCTACACAGGCTAGAAACATGCAGGTAACCCGGTGCCTTCTGCCCCGTGCAAGGAGCAAAACTGAGGCCCAGGTCGCACCCCAGGCTTATGGCAGAGCACAGGCCAGAACTCACATCCCCTGACCCCCACCAAGGACCTCAGTCAATCATGTTGGGGCTCTGGAGCCTCTGCTGCAATTTTACCGAGCAGGCAGCCACCCCACTCCCCACTGCTTTGCAATTAACAACCTGTCACTCAATTTGCCTGATACCAGCTCTCTAGCCTGCCATCTAGTGGCAAAACCGAGGACTACAGGCTACTGTGGAAAAGAACGTGTCCCAGGGCCAATGCCACCCTAGAGACAGATGGCAGGACTTGAGATGTTCTTGAGAATTTCACATTTAGGAGAAAGGAAGAGGGGGGGGGAGGGGGAGGAAATCCACAAAATCCCTCCAAGAAGCACGTGTAAGGAGCCCATGCCCCCTCCCCCAGGTCACTCACTCCCTGGTGACTGTGGGCAAGGGACAGGCACCTGGGGACAGGGGTCTCTCCAGGAGAATGAGAGAGCTGCACCAGAGGCCTCCAGAGGCCCCACGTGCTCTATGAGCTGCGGGCTCCGCTGTTAAATGATGAATATGGATTCTCCTTAAAGTCCCTTGGCACTGGCCCCTGGGTGCTTCTCAAACCTGCTCCCGCTTTGGACACGGAGGGTGGCACCTACCCAGATCCCGGTGCTGGGGGCTCAGCTGAGGCGGAATTCGAGGGCCTCCCGGGGGGGCCATTAGCAGGAAGGAGACCCTGGGGACAGGCTGGGTCCCTCTCGGGCTTTCTTGGCGCAGAGCCTCTGTAATTGGCGCCCTCTGGGAGCACAGGAATGCTGGGCTCAGGACCGTCCCTGCCCTTCTCCAGGAAATGGCAGGCTAACGCTGGGACACGGAGTGACAGCCACAGTCCAGGAGCCACTTAATGAGCTATGCACATGGCGAGAGGGGGCAGGGGGCCCAGGAAGGGCGGGCACAGGTGCCTACCCATGTTCCTGTCACACCCGGGGACACGTGCACACGCGCTTCATGGCCACCCCCACGGGCACACTCACACGCACCCTCACAGGCACCCGGGTGCACGTGTCCTCCCATGGACACACGCAGGTCCTCACACCCACACACAAACAGAAACCAGCAAGCGTGAGCGCTGCCTCGGCGGTCGGTACCCCCAGGCCTTCCACTATGAAACGTCCCCATGTCACTTGGCCACGCCTGCCCACGCCGGAGACCTGCGGGAGGTGTAGATTCAAGATCTTGCAAAGCCACTGGCGGATGAGCCCTGCTATGAGCACAGGCACCTCCGCCAGGTGACCACAACTGTGGCCTCCCTGGCCAGGGGCAGGACGGGGGCAGGACGTGGCCGCCTCTGCCTCCCTCAGAAGTGGGGAGCTCTGGGGTGGAGCCCAGGAGAGATGTGGCCCCCGCTGGGGTGCCCCCCCAGTGGCCCAGGCCAGACGCTCCTGGACCTGAACTGGGCGCAGGCGCACCTCCCCCTCCTCAACCCGCCAGCCCCAGCCGCCCCTYGTGTCCAGCTGACCCACACCCCCTGCCGGGGGCATCTCTGACACTCCCTCCCTGACCCCTTCTCTGGCTCCATCACCCTTGGGCACCAAGGCTGCCACACCGTCCCGTCCTCTCCAGCCTCAAGCCCCTCTCCCTGCCCCACACCCAGCCTCCTGCAGGGCGGGCGCCCCCACCCGCCTCCCACGTCCCCCAGCTCCCTGGCCACCTGGCTGATCCCTGGCTGCTCCCTACCAGCTTCCAGCAGGGACAGATGCTCCATGTTTGTGGAGTACATGCATTTTACATGTGTTTGGGGGGTTCCCTTGAGCCACCAGGCACAGGTCTGGGTGCCAGGATGATGAAGTCGGCCCTTGAGCCCATTTCCCATCACAGGCAGGTGGGGAACCCAGGACAAGAGCACCGCTGAGAAACTGGCGCCAGCCACCGATCTGCTGTGTGACCCCAGCGGATCATAGCCRTCTCTGGGCCTTTAAAGAGCCTTCTAGTGTTGGTCAGGGCTGAGAGGATGGAGTGAAGCTGGCCACCACAGCTCCCTGCCCCCAGCAGCTGCCCAATGTCCCTCCCTGGCCTCCCCAGAGCAACAGGAGGTGGCTGAACCACTCCTCTCCGCAGGCCACCTCCAGGCCCAGCCAGCTCCAGTCCCCTCCTGGTCACCTTGCTCTACATGCTCTTCCTGGAGCATGGCCTCCACTGCCGCCAGCCTGCCTGGGCTGACCGCCACGCTCCGCAGGCCTCGAGTCAGACCAGGGCCTCAGGGAACAGATGGACAAAGATGTGGGTAGGTGGGGCAGGACGGGCCCCAAGGCCCAGACACCTGAGGTGGGGGACAACACTGACCAGAGGAGGATAAGGGAGAGTTGGGGAAACGGAGGGTCAGGCAGGGAAGAGAAGCAAAGATCCAGACGGAGCCAGGAAAAAAGCCAGGCTCAGGGTGGACAGAGCCCATCGAGATCCCCATCCCACACTGAATTGCTGTGTGACCTTGTGGAAGCCACTAATGCTCTCTGAGCCTCAACACAAGTTGCTGGAAGAATCAGCCTCTTGCCTCAACCACAGGACGTGGGTAGGGCTTACAGAAGTCCCCGTCCTTCCCCAGCAGGACTGAAAGGCCCATGAGCCCCTTCTCCAGATTCCCAGCCCACGCCTAACACAGGGCAGCGGCGGAGTCAGGGACCTAACTGGCTCTGGGGCAGCTGCCAACTGGCAACGCTGCCAGGGGCGGGGGGTCCACAGTCCCGCCCTTTTTCATCTCTAAAGGGAGGACAGTCCACCTCCCTCACAGGGTGGATGGTAAGACTCAGAAAAGACCAGGCACAGGGCATGGTGGCGCGAACCTGTGAACCCAGCAACTCAGGAGGCTGAGGCAGGAGGATGGCAAGTTCAAGGCCAGCCTCAGGAACCTAGCAAGACCCTGACTCAAAATAAAAAATAAAAAGGGCTGGGGTGTAGCTCAGCGGTTAAGCACCGTGGGTTCAATCCCTAGTATCACAAAAAGAAAAAGGGACCAAGATCACGGAGGTGCCATAGGGCGATGCCAGACAGCCACCAAGACTCATAGTTACAAGATGGTATCTCTTAATGTGAGGTGGGTGTACGGACGGAGGGATGCAAGGACGGGAGGATGGTCAGACAGATGGTGGGTGGCCGGATGGACCTCTGGGTGAGGACCTGAGGGAGTCTAAGCTCCGCGTCTGTGAGCACAGGTCGGGGGCTGGGATCCTGCCCCAGTGAAAGGCGGCAGAGCTCCCCTCAACTCAGCAGCTTCCTTCCACACAGCCTGGGAGACCACCCCCAAGGGACCTCCTGTCCCTGAGCAGTCAGCCTCCCCAGGACAGTGCAATCCAAGTTATTTTGGGACATCAGAGGTATCCGAGCCACCCTCCGGTGTCCCTGGGCCCAAACACTGTCCCAGGAGGCAGGGCCCATCTGTCTGGGCACTGCAGGCTCAGGCCTGGCCCCGGAAGGAGCTGGTCACCCTTCTCTGAGTGAATGAAGGAGCTGGCTGGGAGGGCCAGGGCTGGGGAGGCAGGGCAGGGCCCACTCACTTGGCACGCGGTTGATGGCTTTGAGGGGCCTGAGGACACGCACGGTGCGGATGGCCGACAGGTTGATGTTCTGAAGGTCCAGCGAGTACTCGACCATCCTGGAGAGAGAGGGGAGAGGATGAGGGAGGGAGGACGCAGGAGAGATGGGGCCAGGGCCTGGCCCCAGGGGTCCCCGCCACCCGACCCACCCAGCCACACCTAGAAGGGGTGAGAAGAGGGGTCAGAGTCCCAGCTGTGCCTCAGCCTGGCCGTGCCTCTGGGCCTCGGTCTCCTCTGCAAACAGGGCTGGTGCCAGCTTCTCCTGGCCGGTGTGAGAGTAGAGGCCCGGGAGGAGACAGACCTCAGCCACCGTAGGCCCTGGTGTCCCTGGCCTGGAGGCCTGTGCACTACTCCTGACCTGTGTAGCCCCTGCCACTAGAACTGCCTCTGAGTGGACTCCCCACCCTGCAGGCGGCTCCTGGAGACCCACCTCGGAGGAGGACCGAGGTGCAGAGGGACGGCCAGTCTGGCCAGGTGGAGACGGGCATCACAGCTACACCAAAAATGGGGGTGAGGTAAGGAAAGTGGACCCCTTCTCCTCGGGAGCCCCCGTCCAGCAGCCAAAGCCCCATGCCCCCTAGGAGAGGGGCCAAGAGGTGATGCCATGGGCCCTGGGTCACCAGGCGAATGGGTGTGTCTGGAGCAGGGAGGCCCACCTGGTCTGGGCCTCCCTCCCTCCCTGCCTCAGGGCCCGGGGCAGCCCAGGCTGCATCTCCAGGACACCGCGGGTCTGCTGCCCTTGGTGGGTCCCCAGCCCTTGGTGGGTCCCCAGGGGACCTGCCCAGCCTCGGGCTCACTGAGCTTCCAACCTGGGGGCCTCCCCCCCTCCAGGAAACCTTGCTCTGCTGGCAGGTCCCTGCAGACGCCCAGATCTGCAGATGCTACCCCAAGTCCATGAGGAACCAGGCCACTCGGTGCACACAGTCAGGCAAGGGGCACTCAAAGGTGAAGAAGCCCCAGTCCCCACCCCACCCGGCCCTTCCGAGCCTCACCAAGGGGCTGCTCCCCAGCAGCCTTCCCAGATCCCCTGGGAGGCCCACCTCTGGGGACGTCCAAGTTCCCAGAGCTTCCACCAGATGCAACCCCTCCCCTGCTGCCTGCCCCTCGCCAGCTGAAGGACAGCCCCGTACCCAGGAGGCGCTGGCGGACCCTCCCCCACCCAGCCGGGGCTCCAGGGCCACCGCCAGCTCCACCCGCCACACGTCAGCAGGCAGGCTTTCGGCACCGCAGAGGCAGACCTGCCGGCTGTCGGAGCCGCCCCCTCCTGCGGCTGCGAGAGTAACGAAGGGAGAACTGCGTCTCCCCAGATGCCCCAGCACCCCCCTCCCCGCGGCCCCGCCGAGTGAGATGGCACGCGCACGCGCTCACACACCTGCACACCCTCGCACGTGCACACTCCCACTCCAGCCCAAATCAGATGGGGAGTGACCTGAAAAAGTGAGACTAGAACTAGAGCCAGAGGCCGGGGGACCCGAGGGGGAAGCGGAAGGGGATGGAGATGGAGGGGGAGGAAAAGGAGGGAGAGGGGAGGGGGGAGGGCGAGGAGGGAGGGGGAGGATAGAGATGGAGGGGGAGGATGGAGAAGGAAGGGGGAGGGGAGGGATAGGCAGAGCGTCAGGGTGGAGGCCTGGCGGTGGGGGAGGGCAGCGAACCCCTGGGGTGCGGGGAGCGGGGCGCGCGAGGATCCCACGTGGGCGAGCCGAGCTGTCACTTTCGTGTTTTGCGGAGCGCTCCCCGGCAGCCGGGCTGTGTGTGGTGGCGGCGCTGCGGGGGCGACCGCGGTGCGCACAGGGCTCACTCGGCCTGGCCCTCGCTCCTAGGCCCAGGGACCCCGCCCTGCCCGGGTAGCCAGGCCCCCTCCCGCCACCCTCCCCGCCCTCCCCGGAGGCCACAGCCCTGGGAGCCCAGCCCACCGTCACCCGCCCAGTGTGTAACTTTGCTGGGGGCTGGGAGGGGCTCCCCAACCCCAAGGGCCAAGTCCCCTAGTCCTGTGTCCCAGAGCCTCGGAAGCACACCTGCGCAGTCCTGGGCTTGCTCCCTGCCCCACGAAATCTTAGGAAAAAACACCTGGAGGCTTGGTCAGGGGTGGTGGATTGAAAAGCAAGTGCCTGTCAGGACGACCTGCTGGGCGCTCTTCTCTGCTAGGCCCTGCCTGGGTCACACCAGGCCACCTGGACCAGGAAGGGGCCCCGGCTACAACACAGCCAGACTCTACCCAGGCAACCAGGACTCCTGCGCATGTCCGCCCCACAGGCCTGGGACAGTGGACGGTCAGTTAAACTCAGCTGCAGACCACTCCGGGTCCCAGGCAGGTGAGGGACTAGGAGGCCCGGCGCCATTCAGGCCTCTCTGAGAACTCCTGTTCTCTGGCTTTCCCAGCTTCTCCAAATCGAGGGACAGTGAGAAGACCCTGGCCCTCAGCTCCTGAGGTCAACTGCCCAGTTTTAACTTTGGGGTCTGAACTCACACTTGGAGGAAACCTAGGGGCGCTCATGAGACTCAGGAGCTCTTGGCCACAGTCTGGGCAACCCCCTGCATCACCCCCACCCCCAAGGGGAACTGAAGCAGTCACCCTTTAGGAGGGCACTGGAGACGCCCAAGGCCGGAGTCTGCACAGGTGGGGGGAAGCCCTGGAGCTACGGAGTGGCCCCGCCAAGCATCCCCCACAGCCTCCTCCCGCCCCATCCAAGGGACAGGGCCTTTCCCCTGGTCCCCAACCTCTCCAGGGCTGCCTCCTCCATGGGGGAGGGGGAACAACCATGAGCAGGTCACCAGGGTGTGAGCATCCCAGCACCATCCAGTCCAGGAGCCTTGGAGGCAGAGGCTAGGGCCACATCCACTGGCTGGAGGGACAGGACAGGGGACAGCTCCAATAGAGCTGGAGAAAGTCCTCAAGACGGAGGCAGGAGGTGGGCACCCTTCTGGGGCATGGGGTGAGGGGACATGGAACAGCTGCCCCTGGGCTCCCTGCATGTCTGCCACCGGCAGACCTGTCCACCCCAGGATCACCTGGTGCCGGGCACCCAGTAGGCCCTCAGGGAATCAGTTCATCCGGCACAAATAACACCTCCCATGTTTTGCAAAGGCCACRGGGGTGGGGGGGAGCACTCCTCTCCCCCACAGTGTCCTGAGGACAGTAGGAGCACCTCGAGCGCTGGGTCCCACCCCTACTCCAGAGAGACCAGGGGAGGAAGGGCCACCCGGGTGAGTAACCAGCAGGCTGACTCCCCTCGGGCCCTGAGAAGACATCAGCTTCGGGAGTGAGAAACTAATCCCTAATCACACAGTTACTTTATCACGMAGCCTCGGTGCTAAAAGTCTAGGAAAAAAAATCAACAAAACCCCCACCACCTCCTGCCAGTTCCCTGGCGCCTAATTAGGTAAGTAATTTTGCCTTAAAGTGAGCACTTCTGTCCTGAAGTCACCCAGGGGAAGAGTGGCTGTCACGGAGGGTGTAGCCCTGCTGGGGTCCCCAGCCCTGGCTCCCAGGAGGCCCAGTGACCAGCAGATGACATCCCTCTGGTCCCRCCACCAGGACGGGCCCAGGATGGGCAGGTGGCCCCAGGTGGGCCCTGAGAGCAGCCCAGCCCTGGAGGGGAGGCCTCAGGAAGAGGCGCCCTACCTGACACGCCACCCGCGGGAGCTGGGGGGCTCCGAGGGCTGCCTGGTCTCGGTGAGAGCCTGAGCCGTGTCCCAGCACAACGGAAGTCTGAGGAGGAGCCCTAACCACTTGGCCAGCAGCCCCACCCCCACCCCCACCCAGCTCGGCCCAGATATGGGAGCCAGGGTCTCTTGGAGCCCAGGTTTCTATCCCTTGCAGCTCGGTTCTGGCGGGTTTAGGAGGTTTCCCGAGCACTCACTATCTGGCAGGCGTTCCGCACGCCCGGCCTTGGGCAGTCCCCCCACAGTCCAACGGTGGCCTCCACTGCAGGTGAGGAAACTGAGGCTCAGAAAGAGCCCAGGTGGGGAGGTGGGGAACCTGGGTCCCTGTGTGATCTGCTCCCTCATCAGCCCAGGAGCAGGCCCGCTGCCTTCTGGCTCACGAGCACCCCCAGGGCTGATAGGGGGTGAAGTGGGGGAAGCACAACACACAGCAGCACCCAGAACAGTCCTGGTCCTGGAGGCAGTGCCGTCCAGTGGTTAGGGCCCGGAGCTGGCTCCGATMCCAGCTGGCTGCTGGTACACCTGTGACCCTGGGCAAGTCACTCCACAGCCCAGCACGAGGAGAGCAAGAGTGTGCGTTAGCAAACGAAGTCGGGTGTGTCGCACAGCCCACACTTGCCCACAGACCACTGCTCAAGGCCTCTCGGGTCCCACCACCTGCTGAGGAAAGCCCAGGCAGGATTCTGACCTCGTCCCAGCACTGCCCACCCCTTGCCCTGCATTCCAGGGACACCAGGCGGTCTCAGTGGCAGAGACTCCACAGTCGCCGGCCCCTCTCCCTGGGCGCTCCAGACCCYGCCCCCTGGCACAACTGAGCTCTGCCTTGGGTCCCTCTGTGCCTCTGCTGGGGCACCTGGGCGCCAAGGTGTGTTCTGCACACGTCCCTGTTCCTTGGGACACCTCAGAGTTCCAGCTGTGTCCCCAGCGCTGAGCCCAGGGAGCGTCCCCGTGTGAGCTTGTCAAATAACTTGAGGACAAGATCAGCAAAAAAAAAAAAAAAAAAATCTCGGCTCTGACAGCAGCGACAGGAGATGACTGAGATCCAACATCTTTCCAGGAAAAACCCCCTCCCCTCCCCGGGGAGGATTTCTGTGTGTTGCCGATAAAAATAGGGTGCTTCCTCTATTTTCCAAGGGCCCACGGGGGCTTTCTTAAGATGTCACTGAAGCGGTAGCTGAGGGAGAGCTGAGGGCCTGGAAACTGCGGATCATCTGTCAGGAGGCGATGACTCAGACCTGTGCCGGCTGACAACTAGACCACGGCCTGGGATGGCATYTTGGCAGCCAGCACATAGTAGGTRCTCAGTGCAGAGAGGAAGGAAGGACACGATGAAGGGAATTAGGGAGTAGGCCCCACCCCTTGACCTTGACCAGCACCTGAGCATTCACAGGGGCCG